TGGCCACCCTCCCTTGCCCTCGGTCTGCTCTGGTATGCATGCTCAGCATTTGCCTCCGTTTGGGGAAGATGAGCCCCTGGTGGAACACACAAGCACAGTGAACTTGTTGCTCACAGGCCAAACCCGAATACTGACAGGCTCCCCAGGGGTGCTGCTTGCTGAGGAGAGGCCCTGGCTTTTTCCTGCGGGGGCACCTCTCCCAGAAAAGCTGGGAGAAGCTGGCTTCTGCAGCAGCAGGAGTCTACCAGGGATCGACTGACTCTGGTGAATGAGTCTGGGAACGAGACAGATGGGCCAAGTCGGAGGCAGCTCCGGATCCGTAGATGAGGAGGACATGTGGGTAGAATTCCAGTTTGGGGTGGGTGGGTACAAAGCTGTGCTGGCCTCGCATTGTTTTGGATTGTCTGTTTCTTTTGGTTGGCCAGCAGGGTCGACGGAGATTGTGGCGAGACAGCTGGGTGTCCAGGCTGCTTCTCGGGGCCACAGCTGGAGAAAGGGGGGCTCTGACGAGTTCGGCTGAGCTCAGCCTTCGTCGTCACCCACCCAGCTCCCTCCATCTGCAAGGGAGGAAACTTCTGGGCGATAGGTAGTGGGCGGCAGCTGAAGCACAGGTCTATTTTCGGCCTGACTTCTCTGAGTGGATTGCTGTGAGATGCTAAGTCCTTTGAAGACAGAAACCAGCGAGGCCCGTTAACGGATGCCAGGTCTCCCCTCCTTGGCTGTGAACTGCCATAAAGTCTCGGTGGCCTGGGGGGCGGCTGTGCTCAGGCCCCGCAAGGAGGCCTGGCCTCTGAGCCGCCCCGTTGCCCTCAGGCACGGCCCGGTGGGGCTGCTGCACGTGGACGCTCACATGGACACGGCTGACAAGGCCCTGGGAGAGAAGATCTATCATGGGTCCCCCTTCCGTCGGTGCGTGGATGAGGGACTTCTGGACTGTAAGCGCGTGGTGCAGATTGGCATCAGGGGCTCCTCCATGACCTTGGATCCCTGCAGATACAGCCGGAGCCAGGTGACAGACCGAACGCCCCTCTCTCGGTCCCCTGCCCGCAGTATGCTTTCCTCGCCTTTGCTCACTCCGTGGCGGCTGTGGATTCCACAGGGGCTTTAATGGTCACGTTCAGGAAACGGGGACGAGAGGCTGAGGTGGCACCCAGAGGGTCACGTGGGGAGCAGAGAGGAGCGAGGATGTCAGTTCACGAGGCCGAGGAGGCCTCTCGTGGCTGGGGTGGGGAGACGAGCAGGAAGGAACCCCTGGGCCATGGCTGGCTTGGGAAAGAGCTGGGGAGGCCCAAGCCCAAGGCGAGTGGCCCCCGTAGTACTCACCTTCACACCTGCCGGGCGCAGTGGCTCCCAGGTGGCCACAGACAACTAGACCCAGCAGGAATGGCTCGAGCCCCCCCCCCCCCGCCGTGCAAAGGCCAGGCTTCCGGACAGAGCTGCTCGGGAAGCGCTAGCACGGGCTGCCCTGAGCGTCTCCCTCTCGCGTGAGCCACGCTTCTCTCTGGCCCCGTCTCCAGAGGTCAGTTTGACTTCCCCTGCTTTACCTGTCATCGCCATTGTCCCTCCCTCCCTCCCTCACCTGCAAAATGGGGACGATGGTGCCCTCCTCATGAAGGTCCCATTGGATGTGTGCAGAGAGCTCGGCATGGGGTTGGCGCACAGGAAACACCCGGGAAACGTGGCCACGTGGCAGCCTTGACCTCCGCCCTGCAATCCCCCCCCTCACCAGGGTTTCCGGGTGGTGCTGGCCGAAGACTGCTGGATGAAGTCGCTGGTCCCGCTGATGGCCGAAGTGAGGCAGCAGATGGGAGGCAAACCCATTTACATCAGCTTCGATATCGACGCCTTGGATCCTGCCTATGCCCCGGGGACGGGGACACCTGAAATCGCCGGCCTCACCCCGAGTCAGGTACGGAGGCCCCACCAGTGACCACACCTGGGGATGAGGATTTTTAACTCCCTGCTTTCCTGGGCCCTGTGGTCAGTCCTCGGGAGCCAGGATAGGATTTTAAAGGCAGAGCAGGTAGGTCTTTCCCGTTCTCACGGCCGCCCTACGCGTGAATACTGACTCACCGAGGACTGGGCGATTTTAGCCGGGGCCCTGGTTTCTTATCTGGGCTAAGTCCTCCATCTGATCTCGCTGCCGCTGGTCCAGCTGTAGTTGCTCATGGGGACAATATTGGCGTATCCCTCTTAGGAACACTGAACTTACCTTTTGGAGGTTAAATTTGAAAAGTGCACACAGTGGGATTAACCAGCTACCCAGGTTGTTCAAGAGTTTTAGAAATACCATCCCTGGCTGGCGTAGCTCAGTGGATTGAGCGCGGGCTACAAACCAAAGTGTTGCAGGTTCGATTCCCAGTTAGGGCACATGCCTGGGTTGTAGGCCACGGCCCCCAGCAACCACACATTGGCGTTTCTCTCTCTCTCTTTCTCCCTCTCTTCCCTCTCTAAAAATAAATGAATAAAATCTTTAAAAAAATCTTAAAAAAAAAGTTTTAGCAATACCCAACTAATTTCCCGTAGGCTGTGCCGAGTGTAGCTGCAGGGAGGCAGCGCTGGCGTGTGGTTGTGAGGAGAAGGTCAGCTCCAGGAGGTTAGGGCCTTTGCTTGGTGCACTGCCCTCCCCTTGGAGCCTAGAATAGTGCCTGACCTATAAACAGTAGGTACTCGAAAGTTTTTGGGAGGACATGAATGAAGACGGCTTACACCTCATGAATGATCTCCTATCCTGTACGGAAGGATGGCCGTGACTACCTCTTCAAAGCCATTTTCTGTTCCCATCAGAGAGATTTCTAAAACACAGTCCTCACTCCTCACTCCTCAGCTTGTCATCCTTCTGGGTGTTTGTTTCATCGGCACAGTGAAAATTCCTTGAGACAAAACAATTCTTCCCGCCATCCCCTCACTTGTCCTGTCTCCCGGCCACATCCAACCATGGGTACTTCTGTCTTGCTGCCGTTTCTTCCCTGCCTGGGCTGCCCTTCCCCTGCCCACCTGCTTGGTCGACTTTCTGAGCTAAGTGTTTCCACTTTGGGGAGGCCTTCCCCCACCCCTCGGGGTTGTTATGTGTTTCAGTCCTCTTCTCCACTTGCTTTTCTCGAAGTCCTTCACGCATGACATTGAAATGACTGGTTTGCTGGTCCCCATCATCACACTGTGGAGCCCTCGGGAGTGGGGGCTGTGCCTTGGTCATTGGTGATGCCCGCCCGTGTGCCTGGCAGTCAGTGAGTGCTTACTGAGGGAAAGCAGTAGTTCCAAGTCAAAAGTGGGGCCCGTGTTGGGAGAACCCACTGAAGCCGCTGCTGGTTGCTTCTCGCTGTAAATGATGACCACTGTCTCTGGCTTGATGTGCAGGCTCTGGAGGTCATCCGGGGCTGCCAAGGCCTGAACGTGGTGGGCTGTGACCTCGTGGAAGTTTCTCCTCCATATGATCCTTTTGGTGAGTCAACAAGAAATCTGTGATCTGTAGGCAGCTGCTAGTTTAAATTATGTTAGTCTAGTTAATAGGTAGCAGATGGATGGGTCCTTCTGTGTAACTCGGGAACCTGCGTGCTGAGTGTGTCCTACAGCGAAGAAAATACGCCTATTATTGCACATCTTACAAACTCGAGCTAATGAGCCCCAACCAAACCCCTGGGAGGCGGCGAAGTATTATTAGCTTGCCCACCAGTCAGCAAAAGAAAGAAACCAACCTACAGTTTTAGGGACAGAGTGGCTGGCACCCTGCCATTGTCCTGCTATCTCATGGAAAAGCGAATTCTCAAAGGGTAAATAATATTTATTAATAAAGCGGGGAACTAGTTGCCTTAGGAGAGATGCTTCAAGCAGATGCCATTTCAATCATTTTAATTTAGAAAACCTTACAGGGTTAGGCCTATTCGCCTCAGAGGGTAGATAATAAATACAATACACATCATTAGCATAGGTTTTCTTCTGGGGGAAATCTGTTCCCAGGGCAAACAAAGGATCTTCTGAATTTTCAAACGCTACTTCCAGACGAGGGATGGAGCGGAAGGCCAGGGAAAGCGTGGCCGGAGGGTGGCTGGGCAGCACTGAGGATGGGTGGGGGGGGGGTCCCCGAAGAGGAAGCCAAGGCGAAGAAGGCTGAGCACTTGGTTGTGAGAGGCGTGGCCTAGGGAGGCAGTCCTCACGTGGGGTTTCCCTCCTCTGTAGGGAACACGGCCCTCCTGGCTGCTAACCTGCTGTTTGAGATGCTGTGTGTCCTCCCCAAAGTGACAGTCGTCTGAAGCGCGTGCGTGCTCTCCAGGACAACGTAACAGGATGCGTGAGCGACAGATTCTCAAGAACGTGTGAGCGAGCAGTCGGGACTAAGGCGTTGATGCCGATGAAACTTTCTGCTAACGGTGCCATTGGTGGCTGTAAAACCAGGGCCCACAGAACTCTACTCCGACAGCCGACATTTCTGAGGAGTTCGCGTTTACTTAAAAAAAAAAAGAGGCACTTGGGCTGTGCTGGTTTTTTTTCCCTTTAATGCAAGATGGTGGAGGACAGAGGGGGAAATGATGGAGAACTGAGTTCAAAGTTATCTTAAAACTGGAGGAATGAAATAAAATAAAGACTGTGAGACAATACTGTATAATGCTTCCATATTTCCACAGTACCTTCCTTTTAAATACAGCTTCTCCTCCGAGGAGCTGGGGGCTGCGGCTTGGTTTTAGAACCACCGTGAGCACAAACACACAGCTGGAAAGACTAACACGCGGACCCTAATAAACTTCCCACTCAAAAGCCTGGGGGGTACACGAGATGTCTTTTAAGCAGACGACAGCTGGCCTCCCAAGAGCCCTTCATGACACCTCCTTAAGCCTGGTTTGCATCGTCTGCCCCTCTAGCTGATACAGCCTGACAGTAATTCCTGAAATCTGCAGTGAGGGACAAGCTGATCTTGAGCGTGTGCTGAGATCAAATTCTGCTCTGCTGATTAATGTGTCCGCACCCCAACCATCACCTCGTAATGCAGGAGCTGCCCGTAATCATCACACTTTAAAATAGTTTATTTCTGTTTCCGGTAGGCAATATTCTTAAAACAAAAATAACATCAGCTTTAGTGCCTGTTCACAATACAAAACAAAGACAACATAAAAAAGACACCATTTGCCAAATAAGTTATTTGTTCCTAAGAGTATCAAAAGTGCAAAATATTCCCCTTCTTTTCGGATCTGCCTCGAAAGGATAATTATTCTCCTCGACAAACTGAGCAGAGAGAGTCGGCAGCTGCCACCCTGCGTGCTTTCAAGGGACAATGGCAGGTATTTGGACGTGAGCAACATTTCATTTGATAAAATGTTGTGTATCATCTTTTAAAGAATTTCCCTTAAAAAAAAAAAAGTTTGAGTGTTTGCTTCTAGTCCCATTTCCCAAACAAAGCAAAGCACTCAAGACATTCAGATCCCATTTCTCTTTATATCAGGAAAACATTTACGTACTGAATGAGGAGGAAATCACCCTATGACTTGAAAACCACAACCAGGTTTTCGTGGTCCAGTACCGGCGGTGCCCCGCGGAACCCCGCGGAACCAGGGCAGCCTCGCTCATGGAAGCAGCTTGGCTGGGGGTGCCGGCCTCTACCTTAGACAGACCGCGCCACCGACACCTTGGCAGCGAGAACATCCTTTTCAAATGGGCGTGTGATCTGCAAAGACTTTTAAGGCCAGTTTTCAACCCCATCTGCTTGCTAAACATGATGCATAGTCTCTCTACCAACCCAAAAACCTACCTCTAACACCATCAACGCTGTCTTTTTAAGATGCGTGTTTGAAGACTAGGAACTTAAAACCCAAACGGGGTCTGTGTGGTCACAGACGTCGGAAGGAGAAACGGAGGCCTTGGCTGAGCGTGACAACGGCTCGTACATTTGACACCAAAGGAAACAAGTGAATGGACACAATGTTCAGGAGAAAAGGCTTGGGTGGTCGAGGGTGAAGTTCATGTTACAACGAGAGCTCCCCAGCCCTCTTGGCAGACGCTTCTGCCCGCAAAGAGACCTGCAGGAGAATTTTTGGACTGAAGTATTTGCCAGGCGTGTGTTCAGTCTATTATCACCTCCCTTTCTTAGTACAAATGGGAGGTACAGCTGTCTGAAGGTGATTTTCATTTTAATGATAACTTTTTTTTAAATGATAACTTTTTTTTTTTAAATGAACAAATCTGGGGAGGTTTTGGTTTTTCACAAATGATGGTCAGGAGTCCCATTAGTACCAGACATTAAAAATAAAAACCTATCATCATCAAACCAAAACCTACTCGTTTAAGCAACGTGGGCACACAAGACCCAGAAAATAGTTCTGAGGACGGGTGCGTCCAGGAGCCAAATGAATTCCATGATCATGTCTACCCGGGGCAGGTGCCAGGAGACAGGACAATTAGAGGAAGCATCCGTTTTAGAGGATCACGTGGAAAAATGAAGCCTGGCAGTGATTTATTTATTTTTCCATAAAGCTATAGATTCCATGAAAGTGACAGAAATTCCTGGGCTCAAATAACTTACTACTTGTCACTGTGGCTCAATAACTGAGCCATTCAGAATTCAAATGGATTAATTTAAAGCAGTTATGATTAGAGAAAATACAAACTTGTTTTGTCCCGTCAGTGATTCCGGCTCCTTGACTTTACAAACTGCCTCGAGAGGGCAGTCTGCTCTGACAGGGGAACAGCTCACGCTTGGAGGACACCCAAACTGCGCGCGCATCCTCAAAGACGAGGCAAGCTCTCCAACCAGCTGGAGCGGCCCAGCTGGGAGCCGTGCGACCCTGCAGCTCAGCGAGCTGATGCCAGGTCTCTTCACCCTGCTACTGGGGAAGCGGTTCTAAGTGAGCAGTGAAACCACGAAGATGGGACGTCAGAATATAGGCCAGAAGCTCGAAGTCCATGAGCCTTCTGCAAAACAGGAGTCTAGAACACTCCAGGTTCACCTGTCACAAAAGACTGGAAGATACAGCATTCTGGGGCAACAGCGTTCAACACACAATGCAGAACGGTTAGGTTCCTTGACACGAAGACAGGTCTGGTATTTACTAAAGAGACACCGCTCACGGGGGGTGGGGGGGGGGGAAATAATGTGTCTTCAGCTGAACATCTACTGGCTTATAGCAGCTTACCTCTACGTTCAGAGAGCAAGGTTAAAGTTATGGCTCCTAGTATCCATACCCTACAACTGACAGAGGCAGAAAGGCATCTGAAATCATACACGTTAATGGCTCAAGTCATTACAGTACTTCTTGCCGTGCGGATCCCTCTGGGCTACGGTTAGTGCTGGGGGAGGCGGCGGATGGGAGGCTCACGAAGGGGTCACTTCAGTCACCGCCCAGCCCTCCCTCCTCTTGCCTTGGGGAAGAAAAGCAACTCGCGTGCGGAACCCCCACTCAGCCCTGTATTTTGAAAACCATGGCTGACAAGCTGCTGTAAGGGGGATACCCCCAAAATATATGTTAGCCACTCACTACCGGAAAACCCGTGCAAGGTAAGGTTGCTTGGATCTAGGCCTCTTTCAAGGCGCGGGGCCTCCTCGAAGCTGCTGCGAGTTGTCCCGCCGCCCCGGCATGCACCGTGGCGGGAGCACAGCGGGGCCAGGAGGGGCGGGAGAGTCGGGTGCAGGGCCCCACCCGCCCGCAACCTGCACAGTGGGCTCTGGTGGCACGGAGACCCGACAGGGGAGGGCGCTGGGCGTGCCCGACGGGGACCGTGGAGGAGGAGGGAACGAGCAGTCTGTTTTTAAATAATGCGGCATTCAGATGAGGGGGAAAAAAAAAAACCCAAAGGAAAATATTTTGATCTAGGGAATTTGACGTGTGGTATTTTCACTCCTAGGTTGGAACAGGACAAAGGAAAGATTCTTCTATCCTCTGTTCTAGAAGAATATTCTAAAATCTACGCTCTGTCCGCTGTGAGGGTTCGAGTCCTGAAAATACCTGGTCACAGGGGCCTGTAAAAAGTTGGGAGAGTTCGAGTCTCTTGGAAATCCTCTCAGTCTAGTTCAGGCCAAGACGGGATGTAGAACCTCTGCAAGGAGCCTTCCAACAGGCGCTCCATCCACAAGGACAGCTTGCTCAACTTCCCTTTGATGGGCCGGGACCCAAGGCCACCGGGGGGTTTCCCTCGAGGCTCGCCCAGATGGAGGGAAGAGTCAAGGTCACCACACGCTCCCATGGCTTCCTCCTCTTCGACTGTCTTTTGGGGCTTGAAGAGGCAGAAGTACTTCTTGTGGCCGTTCAGGGCCAGCACGTAACCAGTGTAGTCGCGCTCCATGAAGTGCTTGTCGTACTGGTTTGGGATGGGGGCCGCGTCCTGAGCAAACTCTAGCAAGTACTCGAGCCACTCTCTGTGCTTATCTAGACTCAGGAAGGAGAAGTGCAGGCAGCTGCTCCTGGGGAGGGAAGAGAACGGGGACTTCAGGTGTTTCCCGGCACACTCGCCGGCAGGGGACGGTTCAAGCAACCGGCCGAGTCTCCACGTCAGGCGGGGCGGGGCACCGGACACGCGGAGGGGCTGAGGGCCTGCACGGCAGCTATGACACTACACTCGTCCGCTTCCCCATGTCTCGTCGGGTGTCACTGCCGTCACTCTCAGTGTCCAGCCCCAGGAAAACACACAAGAGCTGGAGAATAGGTAGGTTCCTCAAAGGGCTCAGAGAAGGAGGACCCAAAGGACACGAAGTCAAGGGGGAAAAACGGTCCCCTCATGGGGGCTCAGTTTCTGGGCTAGAAAGGTCACGGCCAACATCTCGCTGCACGGATAAAGCGCCTCGCTGTCCGAAAGGGAAGGACGCATCTGCCCCCAGCCCCCTCCTCACATGTGCACGCTGCCCCCCCCCTCCGCCTCTCCCCCGGGCTGCAGCTCACCCGGTGAACGTGTAGACCTCCACGGCGAACTTCTGCAGCAGGCTGGTCTTGGTGGCGCTGGACAGGATGAGCACCACGTTCATGTGGCCGGGCCTCAGGCGCACCAAGTTGCTGGTGTACGTGACGTCCGTGAGCTCGGTCACCTCCACGAAGCCTTTCTTAGGGATCTTGCTGTGGAGAAATACGGAGGAGTCACAGTGTTTCCAGGGCAGGGGAAAGTCATCCCACTTTTAAGAGGATTAAGGGGAAGAAAACGCTACGGTCTAACCAGACTAGCCTGACATCACTGAGTATCCTCGTGCCCGACACCCTGGAGGGTGGCGATGGCCCCTACCGGGAAGCCCCAGGCCTGCACCCAGCCTCTCGGGTGCTGCCACTCAGTCGGGGGAGGAGAAACGTCAGGGTAGGTAAAGGCATCGGCAGTGACGGTGATGCACCGTTTTCTGCTTCGGGCTCCCTGAGCGCCTCTCTGACATGCTTCTCTGCTTCCTGCCCTCCGCATCCCACCGGGGACCGAGCAGCAGGTGACCCCGAGGAGGAGGCGGTCGGGTCTGAAAGGGAGAGGGGCTCAGTGAACAGTCTCACGCAGCGGGAGGTGAACCGGGGCCGTGTGTACCCCATCTGTGCGAGCACTGCCCTGTGAGACCCCACGGTCTGAGTTCTGCTGCTCGGTCGGGGAGGGGGCTGGCGGGTGGTTGGAGAAACAAACCTGCTGCTCTCTTTGGTGAAGCTGGGCTCCGCCTTCCCGGCCTTCTCCTGGGCTTCCTCTTTCCCCGGAGGGCTTGACTCGCGCTCGTCGTTTGAGTCGCTAAAGCGGAAAAAAGGGAGTTTTACCAAAAAAGAGGACGAGCAGCCGGGAGGTCTGGGGCTCCCCCTCCGGAGCCACGCGGGGAAGCCGCGGGGGCCGTACCTGAAAGCCTGGACGATGACGGTGCCGAAGAGGATGAAGAGGGCGGAGAAGACCAGGGACAGGAGGGGCATCATTTCCCGCCTGAAAGAGGTGACCAAGCTTACAGACGGCCCAGCCCTCCGCGGCCGCTGTGACACACCCGTCAGAGAGTTCCTGTTTCCCCTCTCCGACTCCGAAGGACAAAACCCAAGACACCCCCAAACTAACAAGCTTTCGTATCAATAAACACTTTCGGATTTCATACACACAGAGGTTTTATGGGGTGGGGGAGCGGACACAGAGATTCTTCCCTTCGCTGTTATCACTCACAGATAGCTCGTTTTAAAAGTCTGATTTTGTGTCTCGGCGTCACAGCCTGGGCTTAGTGTGTCCTGCAGAAGGAGCCAGTGAGAGGGTGATGGCAGATCAGAGAACACCCTGATGTCAACATCAGGGTGGGGAATGCTATGCATTGACTGAGTGGCAGTGACTAAAGAGTCTGTGGAATGATTTCCTTTATTTTGATCCCCCCCCCGGAATAATTTGGACGTGGCTCAGAGGGGTGGAGGAGGGAGAAAAAGTTGGTCTTCCCCGGAGTTCCCAAGGACCGGTGTTCTCCCACGAACACTCGGCAGATGCCTGCCGCTTTCCCGGAGCCGTGCTGGGTGCCGGGAATCGCGGACATGGGAGACACGCTTCTGTCCCTCAGCAGCCCCTGGTTTTCCTCGAGTGCGGGGTGGGGGGGTATCCCTCCCTCCTCTGATCCATTCGCTGATTGGCTTGTGCCCTATACGCTGGACTCCCTGTGTGTCAGGCGCTGGGCGGGTCACCAGAGGCGCCCTGAGGCAGAGGACAGTCCCAGGCTCTGCTGTCTGGAAGGACAGCCGCAGGGGTGGGGGGTGGTGGGGTGGGGGGGGTCCTCCCTTCCCAGTGGGAAAGGGTCAGCAAATAAAAAAAACGTGAAGTCACCAAAAGAAAGAAGAAGAGGAACAGTGTTGAAAATGTGTCAACACCCTTCCACGTGCCTACATTTGGAGATACACTCAAATCAAAGAACGACAGACTCATTTCCAAAAGAAAAACAGTGGTCCTGCTATATTCATGGAGCGAGAGAGATTCAATCCAGCAATATTCCTACCAGTTGCTGTGGAATATGCTGTCCCAGCAGTCCGAGATGTAGTCTGACGCGGAATAAAGCCACCGAAGGAGAAGCATCTATTGGGAGGAAGCGGACGGTGGTCAGAGCCCCCGAGCCCGGGTGGGAGAGGCCCTCGCCGCCCCGGCCCAGCGCTGCCGCCGAACCTCTGCCCGGGCCTCGGGAGCTCACCAGCCCTGCCCGGTGCCCACGCTCCTGGGCCCCGTGCTTACAGGGGCAAGCTCGTCGGTCAGGTCGGGGAGCACGGCTTCCGAAGACAGAAGAGCTGGGTCTTTCCGCAGCTGGTCGAGATGTCCCAACAGGATGAACTTGTCACTCTCGCTCCCCGTCCAGGGATCCGCCAGGGTCTTGTACACCACCCTGCCCGCTGTGTTGCGCCTTTCTAAGATGGACACCTGGGAGAAAAAAAGAGAAAAGCCGTCAGAATTCTCAAAAGAATGCTACGTTGTCACTGTTCAGTTTCTCTTCAGAGAGGACACAGAAAGGGTCTAGTGAACTCAGCAACAAACTCAACACAAATACGGACAGCACAAAGCATCCGCAGGAGACTGAAGTTTTTCTGACAAAAGAAACTATGGTGACTTTTTAAGGCGATTTTCTGAAGCTTCTATTAAAAGTTAAAGTGCTTTCCTCTCCATCAACTTTGTTCGACAACCTCTGACTTAATTTTATAACGAGGGGACCCTTTGTCTTTTAGAGATTAAAGAGGACAGAGAAGAACCGCAGGCTTCTGTGGGGAGTGATGACGAAGGCGGGGGGCGGGGGGGCCAGGAGAGGTCGATCAGACGCCCTGAATGTGGAGGGGATTTCAAAGGCGCACCACTGGCGGCCTGAGGGAGATCCGGCCAACTCGATACTGCGAGACTGGGCCTGTCGTGGGAAAAACGGGAGAAAAGGACTGATGGTCTCCAGTCTCTACTCCCAGGAAAGGTGCCTGCTGAGAACCCAAGACATGGAATCACCGGGCTGAACGGCTCTTTGAATAAGAGTAGGCTCTGACGGCGGGCTCAGGGTGTTCTGGGCTTCCCAGAACCGGTACTCGGAACTCCCGAGGGAGGAGGGCACAGAACCAGGCCCCCGTGCTCGGGAAGAGCAGGGGTCAGGACGGGAACCGTGGCTCACCGCCGACTTTCCTCGGAACGCCTCGCTGTCCGGCAGGAGGGTATCAGCAAACTCCGGCTGCCGGTTGCTGTAGACGTGCACGAACCGCACCGTGTCTTGCGTGTTTGCCAGGGCGAAGGACAGGAAGGCCTCGAAGGGCTTACTCAGTTTGGTGGTCTCAGCTGTCAGTAAAACCACACAGTACCTGCGCCGCAACAGAGGGTGTCAGAACCAGTCCCCGAGGCCCCGGCGAGGACCTGGGATGGCGTTGGGGGGCGGGGGGAGTGGAGAGGCGGAGCTCAAGTAGACACACTTGACTAATGGAAACCAGGTCTTCAAAATCTCTAATCAGCCCTGGCTGGTGTAGCTCAGCGGATTGAGCGCGGGCTGCGAACCAAAGCATCACAGGTTCAATCCCCAGAAAGGGCACATGCCTGGGTTGCAGGCCATGACTCCCAGCAACCGCACATTGATGTTTCTCTCTCTTTCTCCTTCCCTCCCCTCTCTAAAAATAAATAAATAAAATCTTTAAAAAAAATCTCTAACGGGAGGATTTCCAAGTCACTCGTGACCTGCTGCTTGTCCAGACTGGTGACGTTTCCCCGCATCAAACGCTACCACACTTAGGAAATTCTTTCAAGGCCATGGTCACCGAGTCCTTGACACAGAGGGGCCTTTCAGAAGCCACCCGGTCTAGTTCTTCCCTCACAGGCAGGGCTGGCGCCGCCGCTCTCAGCCCACAGGCCACTGAGCCTCACTCTGAAGGGCTTCCTTTGCAATGGTTCCGGCGGGAAGTCCAGCTTGTCACTCATTCACCCACTCTCCCGAGTATCCCCTGCGCACTTCCTCCCGGCCAGGTGAGACGCACCACGTGCCTGCCCCACCTGAGACCCGCAAAGCCTCGCCCCGCGTGGAATCCTCTAGTGGGAACGGTCACTCTCTCCTGCTCCATGTTCTTTAAAGTAACCATTTCTCCCCGACACCGGGCTAAAGCCTCTCTTTCTTCAGGCCCCAGCTGAAGTGTTCCATCTTAGGGAGACCTTCTTTGACCCTCAGGCTAGGCTGGCACGGCCAATAACTTGGTGTGAGGGACCCTGAATGAATACACACCACTACAGTAGTTGTCAGTCAGTACTGGTTACAGGAAGAATAAATTCCGTCACAGGGGAGATGTTTAATGTTTAACTGCCTAGTGGTAAAGTGTGACATGGCCCCTCTACGGCAATGACTGAGTGCGGGCTGTGAACCAAAGCATCACAGGTTCGATTCCCAGTCAGGGCACATGCCTGGGTTGCAGGCCACAGCCCCTGAGCCACACAAGCAGAGCGAAAGCCTTGAATCCTTACTTCCTCTGGCGGTGGGACCGTTTCACGGGGCAGAGTTCATGGAACAGCTTCTGGCTGGTGAGCCGGGCTGCTAACAGATACTTGTTTTGGGCGATGAAGTCATCAATGACCTGTTTCTTCAAGGCTCGGGCCTGAAAGAAAACCAAGAAACAGTTGATTTTATTCAGTTTTCTTACTGCAAACGAGCTTTACTTACAAGCTCTAAAAAATGCGGCTGCCCTGGCTGGTGTGGCTCAGTGGACTGAGCGCCTGCCTGTGAGCTGGAAGGTCACTGGTTCGATTCCTGTCTGGGCACAGGCCTGGGTTGTAGGCCGGGTCCCCAGCTCGGGGCGCGCGAGAGGCAACCGATTGACGTTTCTCTCCCTCTTTCTCCTTCCCTTCCCCTCTGTAAAGATAAATAAAATCTTTAAAACATATGTGGCTGACCCTGGCTGCAGTAGTATAAGCAGTAGTATAACAAAGTAAGAAAGATCTGTTTGAGCAAATAAACATGCTGTCTATTCTATAACGTAGGGCCGAAGGCAAGACTGTAGTTACTCAGGTCAAAGGGAAGCCAAGTGCTCTTTCCACCGCAGAACTTCGTATTTTGGTTCCTGCTGGCACATTTAAGACGCCAATCATTTTACATTTTTGGCCAATTTACTTCCATTTAAGATTGGTAGCAAACTGAACAATTAAATCAACTCCAAAGGAACAAAGTTACTAAGTATAAAGGCGGACTACAGAACTGGGTGATGACCGCTCTGTTCTTTGTACCTCTCACACATTCTGAAGGACAGAAACGACACAGCGTGGGCAAAATCAGGTTTATAGTTGCGAGTACATGAAACACAGAGTTTATGCTTATATTACGCATTTTTCCATAACATCCACTGTGAATACACTTTTTTTCCCACTCCGTACATTGCAGGCTCTCCGACTACAATCTAGAAATCCGTGTAAAATATAAACCGAAAAATCCTTGGATGTTGAGAAACACACTCTGAATAACCTACTGAACCAAGAAAGTATGTCAGATATTGGGAAATAGTTTGAACTTCAAGGATTAATGGAAATACTATTTATCAAAACACTGAAATGAAGATAAAGTAGTATTAAATTTTTGTGGTAAAATACACATAACATAAAATCTACCATTTTAACCATTTAAAAAAAAGATTTTATTTGTTTTTGCAGAGAGGGGAAGAGAGGGAAAAAGAGGGAGGGAAACACTGATGTGTGAGAAAAACATGAGCTGGTTGCCTCCCGCATGCCCTGAGTCAGGGACCCAGGCACATGTGCCCTGACTGGGAATCAAACCAACAACCTTCTGGTTCGGGGGACAACACCCAACCCCCTGAGCCACACAAGTCAGGGCTAACCCCTTCCAAGTGTCTGCTTCTGTGGCATGAAGTATTTCACACTGTTCTCCAGCCGCCCCCACCCCCGTCCACCTTCTGAGCCTTTCACCTTCCCCAGCCGACCGTGCGCCCCTCGAGCCCTGACTCACTCCCCTTTCCTTCCTTCCCTAGCCCCTGGCAGCCAACCTTCTCCCTTCTGTCAAAAGATTATTTTTTGAGCAAAACAGTACATTTGGAAAACAAACTTGTTTTTAAATTTTGTGCCTCTGGAGAAAGAAACAAAAAACTAGTTTCTCCTCCTCGCCTGCCCTGTTCGATTCTGCTGTTAGCGTTTATGTGAAGGCCCGCGGTCGAACGGGAGGGCGGCCTGGAAACCACACGTACCTGGATCGCGTCCGCGGGTTTGTTGATGTTTTCTTTAAAGACCAGGACGGTGGGAGTGTAGACGTTGACGTTGTACTGTCTCGTCATCTCTTCTGTCCCCCTCAAACCGACAGACACGTAGCCAAATGACAGGTAATCTTTGTATGCAAAAGCAGTCAACTGTCAGGGCGTAACAGAGGGGAAGACATGAAATCAACAGCACGGCATGTGAATTACGAATCCAGTGTGACTCGCCCGCATCAGCGGGCAGAGATGAACCCCAGCTTACTACACAGCCCTGCGTGGGCTGTGTCACCCTGGGACACTTGCAGGAATTCGGTGGTGCGCCTGGCACGAACACCGCACCGACAGAGCTAAACACGACTACTTCTTTTTTTCAGGTAGAGCAAAATGCTCATCTTACTGATGAGTGGGGCGGTGGCACAGCGTGTCAGAGGAGTACCTGCGCCCCAATTACTAAGGTGCAGTGACCACCTCACGTCACAGTGATGAGCAGAGGTGTGCTGGATGTGCACGTAGAACAGGGTACCGTTCGGAGGGCAGGTGTGGACCCAGACAGGCTTCAAGGGAACCGACGTTCCCCCCGCTGGAGGGAGACCTTGGGTTGGCCACACAACCCCCGTACGCCTCAGTGTCTTGGGATAATGCCCGGGCCGTTGGCCTCTTCCCAAGAGTCAGTGCTATTATGCACACCGCACAGCACCGCACCGGCAGCGCCCGATGGATGCGCCGTGTTTAAGGGAATGGCCGTGAACGCTCCTTGGGGATGAGCTGTCACTCACGGAGGGGACGCTCAGGCTGCAGGTTCTCCCCGCCACGCCAGCACGTGCAGTACCTTGTACAGCAGCGGCACGATGGGCGTCTGGTCGAACAGAAGGACGTGCGGTTTGTTCTCCTGCTGCCAGCCAGAGAGAAATCTGACGTAATTTTTATTTGTGACCTTCAGTTGGAAAGAGGATGTTCGTTTCAATATTTAATTTCCAACAGTTGCATTATAATCTATTCAGTAGATATTTAAATAAGATCAAATATGCGTAAAATGTTCTTTTGTGAAAACTAAAAAATGCAAACGACTAGTCTTTTGTCTTCATTTGCCTACAACTTGAAAAAAGAATAGAGATTGTTAATTTCATATTTTCATGTGTTCCAACTCTTACCGACTGAAATCATCTTTTCTAAAACAATTACTGGCCATTTTATTTTAAAAAATTGAGCTTTCAAAGCTGGTTCTTGCTTATAGACTGTCCTTTGAAATCTATTAACCTTAATCTATTAACTTTAATCTAATACAGAAGACAATGCACCAATCCCTCTTTTAAAACAGCTTAAATAAAACTAAGTGGGCCGACCTCACCTACACATCACATAATTTCATTTGCCGTCTGAATCACTACTTTTGTGTCTCCCTGTTTATGCCTTAAAATAATTCTACTGAAAGAACAAATTAAAAGCATACATTTCTATCTAGAAAATTTTAAATAGTTCAAAAAAGCGTCTTTCCCATTCGATTCCAGAACGAACCACGTAAAACCTCACCCTGATCAGTTTTCTCCACTGCTCAGGGCTCCGTCACCTGCAGGCCGAGGTGAGCTCCTGAAGACCGTCCTCAACACTCACCGTGGTGCCAGGCACAGAACAGGTACAATGTGAAGGTCTGAGGACCCACCAGGACAACCTATCATGGTTTTAGGAGGCTACAACGCTCTCTGACCTTTTCCTTTCATGCTAACCCCAACAAGTATTTCTTCCAGGGCTAATGACCCTGGCAGGACACTCTCTGAATAGGGCATGTGGAAATACAATGGAAATGTCTGGCTGTTCCCTTTCCCTGGTGTTGCTGAAGGAAGGAATCATTTCAAGCAAAACAAGGATTTTGTTCTAGTTCTTTTGATCCTTGACTTAAGAGACTAGGGGAAAAATTCTTCTTCTTTTAAGATTTTATTTATTTATTTATTTTTAGAGAGAGGGGAAGGAAAGAAGAGAGGGGAAGAAACACTGATGTGCGAGAGAAACATAGATTGGTTGCCTCTCGCACACTCCCAACTCGGGACCTGGCCTGCAACCCAGGCTTGTGCCCTGACTGGGAATTGAACCGGTGACCCTTCAGTTCCTGCACTCAATCCACTGAGCCACATCAAAAATGCTTCTTAAATGTAAAAGCCATAAACCAGCATGAACTTTTCGTGCCTGGCTTCTTTAGCTTAACCTTTTGTCTGTGAACTGTAACCACTGTTGCATCACTATACGTTGTGAAAGTTCCAAACATAAGATTTGTTTCCATGAGATTTGGTGTTGTCTATAGATACAATCATTAAGCCCATTATCAAATATAGCTGACTTTGAATATTCTCATAAGAAAAGTTATCTTCAAATGAACAGGGTCAGGAGTCGGAAAAGAAATCCCGTATCTCACGCTGGGCTCTAGTTTTTCGCTTAGAAAGCAGGAGTCCCTGTCATTTGAGGCCCAGGTTCCTGTGACAGTGGAAATCTGAACGGTGACAATTCAAGGGGAGGAACCCTTGGGGTCCCTCTGCCTGTCCAGCTTGCAGTCTCGGACGGACTGCACTGAAACGACTTAGTCTGAGTGCTTACTTCACGAATACGTAACCTGCCCTGCTCAGGATGACCACAGGTCGAGTTCCGGGCACTCGGCGGTGCCAGGCACCTTGCCAACCGCTTCTCAGCCAGGTACTTACTTTCTCCACCAAGTTCCCTGGAAGAAGACTCTCCACAAAGTGTCGCAGGTTCTCACGGACGACTGCGTTGTGGAAGAAGGAGATTTTCCCGTTTATGATTCCCAGGATGGAGGGCGTGCTGTGTGCTCCCAGGTGGTGGGCCAGGCGCCTCTCGTACCCGGCGTGTACCACGCCAATCCCCACACCTGCGAAGTACGGGAGACTTCCATGAAGCCTTTCTACATCTCTCCGCAGTTGAAGAAATGCCACTAGGTAATTCCTGGGTGTGCAATTGAAACTCTGACCTCCCAGGAGGGGGTATCTGACACTTGCCCACCCCTCTCTATCCCCACGGCCCTGGTTCAGGCCGGTGGTTGCTGTCTTGCCAGGGCTGTGGCCTCCCTGCCCCTGTGCTCCCCTTCTATCGTCTGTCCTGCATGCAGCTTTAAGAGTTAGCTTTCTATAGCATAGATCTCATTAGGTCACTCCTCTGTGCAAAAACTCTCCTTGGCTTTATTACGTACTATAGAGTCCAGCTTCCTCAGCCTGGATTCAAGGCTCCTCGCTCACCGGCTCCCGGCTCTTCCTGCTTCCCCCTCTCTCACCCGCGGTGCGGGCTCTCCCGAGAACGCCCATTGTTTCCCTGCACGGTTCCCTCGGCCCGGAGCCCTCCTCACCCGTTTCCTGCCCAGCCACCCTCGAACCACCTTCCAGGCCTTAGCTAATAAGTAAACAGCTGGGGCTCCATTGTCAATGAGTTGAAGAGAGTAGACTAATACATGTAAGGAAGAAATTTTCAAAGGGGTTTATAAAATAGGCACTTGCAAAAATGTTACTGTGAAACCAGAAAATCAAGTCATCCGAAATTTTCCAAGGTTCGTTCATTAAGTGCTTTATATCAGGCACTTAACACAAAATTTCTCACTTCACGTTCAATCCGAGGAAAGTATTTTGACAAATCTGAGCAGCTGAGTGCTGCTGAACAAGGCTGAACATTTCTCTTCTGGAACCAATGAACCGATGGTTGCCACTGGTGTGCTCCCTCCAGAGAAACACAGGCTTCTCAGCTCCTGTGCGTCTGTCCCTTTTTAGTTATTCAAAAACAGGTCTGCTAATGCCTGTGACACACGCACGCGCACACACACATTTAGTTCAGTAGTTCCAGCTTTAAGGAATCATTAACATAAATATCCTCCCTGGATTACTAACATCCTCCTGGCACTAAGTGGAAACTAGAAACAAAGGAAAGGCTGATCTGGGACTTAGAATGGGAACTCACGGCCATCGTGTCATGAGCTGACGTGTGTCCGCCCTGGCCCCGCAGAGCCCTAACCCCCAGTGCTTCCGAGTGGGACTGCATTCGGAAATAGGGCCTTAAAGAAGTTAACATGGGGCCACAGGGTGGCCCTAATCCAATGTGATTGGTGTCCTCGTAAGAAGAGTCTGGGACACAGAAAGAAAGACAGCAAACCCATGTGCACACAGAGAGATGACCATGTGCCCCCCCACGTAAACACACAGGGAGAAGGCGACCACCTGCAAGCCCAGGCCAGAACCCTGCCGCCGCCTTGATCTTGGACTTCTGATCTCAAGAACGGTGAGAGAACAAATTTCTGCTGTTTATGTGTTCTTTGTTACGACAGCCCTAGCAAAGGAATACACGGAGTGCAGTCGCAAATACCATGCGAATAATCTGAAACTACCACCAGCCTGAACACGGACGCTGGAGGGCTGCTTTGCTCGCCAATCATTTTAAGCTTTTCCTACGTACTGGGCCCCAACGAGATGTTAGGAGGCCACAGAGACAAAGCTTCACATCAGTGATGCAAAATGAGAGTGGCTGATACGTTTCCCCTCTCTGAAAACGCATCCTGGGGAGACACCAGTCATCACCATGAACTCGCGAAGAGAAATCACACTGTCCCTTCTCCCCAACATCCCATAAGATTCAAGATTTAAAAGTCACCTTCTCCCAGTTAAACATCTTCCAGTGAACGAAATGACCTTACCCAGTCCTTCCAGTTCTTGAACTACTTCTTTCCAAACAGGCTCGATGTGGATGCAGCTAAAACACCAGTCTGAGGTGATCTTAATGAGGTAGGGTTTCTTGAAGCTATCCGGAACCACTTCATTCACATAGTGCGAAAAGTGCAATAAATATTTTTCATCAATCGAGTCCCGCCGCTCCGAATTAAAGGGGAAGTGAAAGAAGGACTCATCGAAATAAAAATTTTCATGGAAATGGCGGAAGCGATACTCCCGCTGCTGCTGCTGCTTCTGGTAGCCCTGGTTCTCGCCGGCATCTCCGTAGTGATCATAATTCGATCTTTTTTCTTCATTGGAAAGAATCTATAAAGAAAGAAAAAAAAATAGAAATCTATAGAACAAATAAACGTTTACGCAAAGAACTTTTCTGTAAGCAGCTTGGAAAATATAGAAAGAAAATAAATGTAAAAAAGATATGACATAATTAGATATTCTAATGAACATATCAGACAGAATCATTACGTATTTCAAGACCAAATTACTTCAGTTACTTAAATACTCATGCTCAGTTTGGATTTAAGGATTTTGAGCAATCGTAACACTAATCACATCAGTGAAACAAATGAAACCTAACATAATGTTGATCACCTGGGCTTGTGCACAAGAACATGCACTGGGTCATGTCGTTTATGTTGGAATGATTCAAACCAAAATATGAAAAGCTGTGAACACCAAAAAGACCACAGAATTGCGTTCAGTGTCTTGCATGTTAGCTGACTTTGTTTTACTTAGAGATAACTTTGGCCCTGGCTGGTGTGGCTCGGTGGATGGAGTGCGGGCTGAGAACCAAAGGGTCTTCAGCTCGATTCCCGGGCAGGGCACATGCTGGGGTGCAGGCCAGGTCCCCAGTAGGGGGCGTGCGAGAGGCAACCACACATCGATCTTTCTCTCCCTCTCTTTTTCCTTCCCTTCCCCTCTCTCTAAAAATAAATAAATAAAATCTGAAAAAGAGAGAGAGAAATAACTTTGAAGCCCAAAACTCGAGAAGCTGTTTGTGGATGACGTGCCACTCCACGCGCTGAGGGTTGTCTCCTCAAGAACATCACCCTGCGCAACGCAGGAAGCCAAGGACCTGCCTTTGTGTGTCTTCCGGACAGAACCACTCGCACCGACGTGTTAGGAAACTGCCGAACATCTCGTGGTTAAATAGGGTTGGCCAAAAAGTTCGTTTAGTTTTCCCCGTACGATGGCTCTGGTTGTGCTTAGTTGTCTTTAACTTCATTCAAAACAATTTTGTTAGATTGTACTGTGACAGCTGTCCTCTCAGCGTGCATTTAAAAAAACTTAATCATAATTGGTGAATTTTTGTGTAGCCATTTTCATATTGAAGATGGCAGAAAATACACAATATTTTCAGCATATTATGCTTTCTTATTTCAAGAAAGGTAAAGACGCAACTGAAACGCAAAAAAAAAAAAAAAAGATTTGTGCAGTGTATGCAGAAGGGGCTGGGACTGATCGGATGTGTCAAAAGTGGTTTGTGAACTTTCTTGGTACTATCGACATTTTTGCTGTGGGGCTGTCTTATGCACTGGAAGATGTAGCATCACCTCTGACCTCTACCCACCGGAAGCCAACAGCAGGAGCTAGCCGACACACTCCAAATATCCAAATCAATAAAGTTATTGTTGAAAATGAAAACTGTGTCTTTTCTTTTATGGAAAAAACTAAGTGAACTTTTTGGCCGCCCCAACACTGGCAACCCTCTGTCGTGTTAAAAACTGTAGGCAAAGTGGCCTGTAGCTGTTTAAGCTTCTAGTATATGTGCTGCCGAAGTGAGCACGTAATACAAGTTTCTAAAAAGGAAATAAAGATGTACCTTCAGGGTAATTCTACAGTTCCAATTAAAGCCTTTAAATAGGCCATTCTTTTAAAGAGCTGAAGTTTTCAGGCACTAGTTTTGACATACTGGATATGACCAAATATGGTCCATCCCATCACCCAGAAGCTGGGTCAAGGGCACAGGGAACGCGCCCTGCCTGAGAGGATGTTACGAAACATTTGGGCACGTTTTATAAGAGCTAAAGGATGCACCCCGAAGCCCGACACCATACCTCGTAAGCCTTGCTAATTTGAATGAACTTGTCCTCGGCTCCGGGGTTTTTGTTTTTGTCCGGATGCCTGAAACACAAGAGGGCGGAAGTGAGAATGCACTTCGTGTTCTGCGCATGGCCAGTTCACATCCTCGCCCACACAGTTCGCTCCACCGGAGGCCGATGGAAGGCCACTTTGTTGGGACGGTTTTAAAAAATAAATGGTAGAAGCAATCCGTTGCTTCACATAACTATGAAAAATTACAACTTTAACACAGGCATGCTCTTCCAGAAGTGTTTCAGCTGGGCACATTTTCAAAGCCCAACGGGAGACAGTGCCGCAGCCTTTCACTGGGAAAGGTGGGCAATGCGTGTGCCCCCCCCGTTGCTCTGAAACCTTGCTAAAGCTGCTGTAAGGGACAGCTAGAGTCACTTATCTGTAGGAACCAACTGCTCTTCCCGGGATGGAAGCATTTCATCCCGATGTTAGAACGCCATCAGTGATACCAAGTTCTTCCGACAAATCAGGTAAGCACAGGGAAAGACAGCTTGAAGGATGCGACGTGAATTTGCTCCGTAACAACCACGTTTCAAACGGCACCCTGCTGCTGGTGTTCCAATCAGAACGTTTTACTTCTCACTATCACTCTGGCTATCCCGTTCTACCTGCGACTGCCTTTCACCTGCCAACCGATAATGATGTCAAGGCCACGTTTTACGTAGGATGTGAGCAAAGTCTCCAAATTTAAGCAAAGTGGTTTCAACTAACAGGAGGACAGATACTTGTTATTATACGCAGCTGACATTGTCCATCTTGCAGCCATATATTATTCTGCAATCTGCTTGTGTTTATACCAACTTCAGCTTTGGGGACTTGAAAGTCCTGGAAAGTAGGGGCTGGGTTTTCTGTCCTCAGAACCCGCTACGATCCAGATCAGGGTTTGATTTTTCGGTGCTCACTTCACTGAGACTCTGCTACAGGTCTTATTCTTTATGCCATCCCTCCTGCTTACTTCCGCTCAATTTCCTGCAGCAAAGGTTCCGGGAAGAGACTATCCACCGGGAAGCAAAAGCCCACTAAGCACAGCACCGAGTACATCAAAATTAAAAAAAAAAAAAAATTTACAACTTCGCCAACATATTCTAGTAGGAACATATTGGAATGAATTACACCCCATATTCGGATTTCTGCAGAAATGAGGAAACCTCAAATGGCTCGCTGCTGAATGCAGACATCCGCCTTCATATTGGATCCTTGTTATGAGCATCGGTGGGAAAAACCCCGCCAGGTGCCATGAAAACCGTGGGACTTAAGGGGACAAGACGGCGGTTTCAAAGCATGTTTTTGGATGACAAAAAAAAGTGCTTTAAGTATTCAAAGTCAGGCTAAAGCCTTGAGAAGATAAAAACAACACGATCACACAAATGAAGATTTAACACACAGAGCTCGGGGGGGGGGGGGCGGGGTAGGAAGGGGCTTTTAAAGAGACTGAAGCGAAGGGCGAGTGGTGAGGGCAGCTGGGTTGAAACCGCAGACCCCGCAACAGAGGAAGCCAAGGCCCAGGAATTGGGGGGCGGCGGGGGGCGGGGGAGGGGAACGAGACCACAGGACAGTTTCAGCTTAGAAGGGATACTTTTCTAATCACAGGAAAACAATACAGAGTTGCAAACATTAAAGGGTAACTTCAGCTCTAGGGAAGTACTGTCCAACGCTATTTTCTGCGTCTGTGAAACATTTTACAAACGGCAGCATATACACATCTACTGCTGGTCTATTTACCTCTCTAAGGGAATACAAAGAGAGGCTGAAAGAGTAACACAGGCCCGGTCTGGTTAGGTCAGTGGTTTAGAACATCATGCTGATACACCAAGGTTGCGGGTTTGATCCCTGGCCAAGGCACATACAACAAGCAACCAACGAATGCGTAAACAAATGGAACAACAAACCAATGTTTCTCTTTCTCCCTCTCTTCCTCTCTCTAAACTCAATAAATAAAATTTAAAAAGTAACAGAGTTTGAAAAATACAGAAGGTAGTGCTAATAAATATTAAAAACCAACATAGTAAAGTATTAGCCAAATCAATTTCCTGTTCTGGTGACTGACCGTGCTATACCCATTTGCTTCAAATCAAACTTTAGGACACCTTCTTCGTGGAATGGGAGGTGTTTATTCTGTCATTGCAGATGACAAAAGAAAAGCATGTATGAACTAACTTAATTATGGGAGACAAACAGTGTTCCTGAGAGAAAAAGTAATTTTAAGTGGTTGCACCAAGCAAGAGGCAAGCTCTTGAGACATCTCAGCAAAGCTATTAAGTAGTAAAACATGACAGAGGAAAGCTACAAATCTAATTTGACAATTAACTACTTCCCCCTGCTTTAGTTCATTTTGAAAAGTCAAACTGGGAAACACTGCTGTTTTCAGTGCATAGGAACCCATTACAAAAGGAAACAATTCCAGTGATAAGCACTGCCACAGCCCAAGAAGCAGAAAATAATAGTACAGCTAAAATACAGAGATACAGTAAAATGGCAGTTTCATTGGATGATGATACTTTATACACGCTGATGAATTACTCCTCGAGAGAATCTAATTAAGGAACAGAAGCATATGGCTCGTTTAATTAATATAACATCCTTTTCAGCTCTGGAAGACAGCAAAGGCAAAGCTGTACATTTTTGTAGGTCCTACACACTGAAGCTGTCACTTCTGGTTTTAAAATGTTGTTAAAGGCCGTATCCTGGCCAAAAGACTGTTACTACCGTAGAAGTTCATTGCAGATTTATAATTCTTGCTTTAAACATAAAGAGGCAAGAGTCTGAAATGATGTAGAAAGCAACTTTGCTGTATACAGAGTCCCTGGAAAGAGGCCACACATAACTAGAGATTGTGTTTTTAGTAACCAATTCCGGATTCTTCATGATGTGAATGTGGTGTAAAACAGGGGTCCCCAACCTCCAGCCCAAAGACAGGTACCAGCCAGGGCCTGTTAGGAACTGGGTGGCACAGCAGGTGGTGAGCTCAAATGTAATTCCTGGAATCATCCCGAAACCACCCTCCGCCCACTGGTCTGTAGAAAACCTGTCTTCCACGAAACCAGTCCCTGGTGCCAAAAAGGTTGGGAACTGCTGGTCTAAAATATCTATGCAAAACATTCTATTTTAAAACTATCTTTTACCTGTACTGCAACCATTTTAAAACTAGGGTACATGTTTTACTGAAGAATAATAGTGTCGGGCAGTCACACACACCCTGCGATGTCGTCTGCATGCAGCAATTCTGTCCTGCCCAACTTCCTGCCTAAAACGCTCACCCACTCACTCCTACTTCTGCCCGGATGGGCAAGCGATCAAAAAACAAGAAAGCAATCAACTAGCTGTTGGTGCAGAAGGTCAAACTATGGAAGCCACAGGTAATACAAGCGTTAACAACCCGTAAAGCAGGGACGGCCATGCCCTCCCTCCCAGTGCAATTATGAGGTTTAAATGAGATTACACACGCGCGCACACACACACACACACACACACACACACACACAGAGAAAACAGAACCTGGCACCTAGCTGGCAGGTGCTCAGGGATGCTCCCACCCCACCCCTTCCTTCTGTTCTCAAGCTTGGTTCACCTGGTCGGTAGTCGCCTGGGTCCTTTCTCTCCTTCCCTCCCCCCGCTGCCCCCTCCAGCTACATAATCCAACACTTCCACTTTGGCCACCCCATAGCATTAGTGCAAGAAACTGATGCTGTCTGACTGAAGTACGTTTTAAGTGCATTGCCATCCTGCTAAGTCATAAACACTTGTACATTCCCTAGCATGTACAATAGCTACAGGTAAAATTCTAATTTCTCTATAAACTAATATACTGAAATCCTGAATATTCTTTTAAAATTAAGGGCAAAAAGCTCTTACTCTAAATTTGTTTTTTTTACAGCTTAAAAATTAATCTAGAAAATAGGATTGGGAAATGTTTGCTTCAGCAATGAGGCTCATAAAGAGTTACTTTATCAACAACATCATGGGAAGGGTAGTTTCTCCATTTCTGAGTACATGTATATTTAAAAAATTAAAGTTTCCTCCCACTTTGACACGAAATATGCTAATGGTATCTCGGCAATTAAGGGGGTTTCACAGTAACACAGGCTTTGAGTCACATCACTGACAATTACAGAATAACATGAACATTAGTTCTCCCAAAGAAATATTTTAGACAGGCATATTACATACTTACTGAACACAGAAACAGAGACAAATAAAAGCTAATCATAATTTAGGCTTCATTTCCCTGCTAAAACGGCTTAGCTTACATTAAACTATTTCTTTGTTGCACCTACCATTCCCGGGCGAGCTTCTTATAAGCCTTTTTAATGTCAGCCTGACTGGCTGTCCGGCTGACCCCTAGGACTCGGTACGGGTCAAAATCCAACGCAGACAGAATTTGCAGGATGAAAACCAGAACTATCAAGAACTGCCAGGAAATGGCCAACTTTTTCACTTCCATTTCTCTTCCTTGCCAGAGCTGAAATGATCGAAGAGGCAACAAGGTTCAGTGGTAGAAACTGGGAGAGTCTTGCTCTTTAGGTGAAGGTGTAAGACATAAAGATGAAAAACAAAACAAACAAAAGGTATTTTGCAGAAAAAGGGTCAAGCTGTTCGACTATAGTTTCAAACACGATCTCATTACTATTTATATCATACATAAGAACTATTATAGATGAAAAGATGAGCGATACGAATTAATAGCACCTCTCCAGAAAATCCTTGGGTTAGAAAAGCTTTAGAAGTGACGGAAAATAAATGAGATGAAGAAATAATGAGCACATGCGACAAGACCAACAGGAAAATCTGGGTGACTACAGCTCAAACACTCTGTTTCACTTATTCTGACAATCGGTGGTAGTGTCAACTTGAAACCCAAGGCTTCGGAATACCTCACTGAGCATATGCTAAACAAATTCATGAAACCATAAGATTGACCATGCCCAAAATCACAAAATGAGACAGTGGTGACATTATTGGGAGTTAAATAAGCAGAAGTACAAGAGTGAAATACTCTTACAACGCTGCAGTTACGACTCAATATTCTCCGATTCTATTCTTTCTCACCGAGCCCAACAAGGAAATGAAGCTGCTTTTTAATCCGATCATGAGCAACGGGGTCATTATGAATGCAGACCTCAAGAAATGCCCAACTTTCTCACTTCCGATTGAGCAAGAGTGGTGAGAAAAAAATTAAGTTTTCCACGTGAAGGGCAACTGGTGACAAAGACTGTAGACCAGACGTGGTCTTAACGTATTAAAGCTCCACCTCTGGTTGAGTGTAGGGACTGAATTCACGCTGGGTTTTGGGACTAATACTGGCTGGTTAAAAAACAACATAGTGCTCCACTGCGCAGGATTGTGATCTTGGTGATATCATACAAAGTTTTTTCCGAGGGCCTCATTTATCTTGACATCTCATAAAGTACTCAAATTTTAAGGTTCAAGGGTCTATTGTGGCATTTATGAGGGTGGGCAAGAGCTGCATAGCAGCAGTGGATTCTGACATCTAGAGGTCTAAATGCAGCCTGGGAGTCCTCACAAAATTGACCCACCGGATAGCCAACTGGCTGGATGCATGCTGAATAAAACCCTAAAACCAGTTTCTTCTCTGTTCAGGCAACCTATAACCTATCCTGTCCCACAAAGCACGCACAGCCCGCTAAAAATCCGGATGGCGATGTAGCTACTGAGTAAGCACACGGACTCGGGAATCAGACTAAGATTGGGATCCATCCTCCACCACTTTATGATGTTGGGCAAGTTACCTAAACTTGTTAAGCCTCAGTGTCCTCATTTAAAAAAAATGGAGGTGAATAACACATCTTGAAAGGGTCAACATGGGAGTTAAATGCATGTAAAGTATTTACTGGGCACAGGGTCAAGTCAATGAATGATATTTGTAATTATTTTTCTATCGTGCTGTACAAACTGTCTTATTCAACCGTGTCAGTCGCCTCCCGTTCGAGGGCCCAAGTGGCGGGGCGGGGGGCTGTGAAGTTCTTTTGCCGACTTCACAGAAGCTTGACGATGCCGGCCTCGGGGCAGGAAACCACCTGCCCAACAGGTAGGCTACCGCCCTTGGGTAATACCCCTAAAACAAGCAGACGCTCCGAGAGACACGCTGAGTCTGAGCACCGCCTCCAGCTCCCGCCGGAGGTCGCAACCCTCCAGGAGACAACTGCCTCCTCTGCTGCCCTCCGAGAGCCCTGGTCCGGGCCCGGTCGGCTCCCGGTTCCCCCCAGGCCCAGCAGGGACCGGGAACGGGAAGGAAACGAAGGGAGGTTCCTTAGCCTGCCCGGCCCTGCCGCGTCCGCGGCTCCGCGCGTCACGCGGGGAAGGAGTTACCGGGAAAGGGCACCGGCCTAAATGGCTGCAGCGTCGGAGATCCAGTTAGTCCGCCGGCCGGGAGCCTCCGGTCCACCCCAGCGTTCGCTGGGACCTGGGGAGGGGAAGAAGGAGGGGACAGCCTGAAGGGAGTCACGTGACACTTAAAGGCCTGGCGTATCGAAGGCACGGACTGAACAGGTGGAGGGCTTCTGGTTTGCAAATGTGTTTTGACCCTTGCCACACACCGTCTGCGCGTGGACCTAACGCGGTTACCACGGGAACGAGGCGCGCTCTTTGGCTGGATCAAAAAGGATGATCGTTACCAAAGAGGTCAAGACGTGCCATCTAGCGAGGCTAAGTCGCGGTGCAGGATGGGAAGCCAAAAAGACCTCCCCGATCCAGGGAGGAGTTTCCAGTCCTACCAGGAGATGGCCCTAGTCTAACAACAGTTGCTAGGGTGGGGAAGCAATCCTTGGTCCCGGTTCTCTTTAAGCCTATTCATAGAATCCTGGAGCGTTAGAGTTGGAAGAGACCTCAGGGATCCTTCCTAGCCCAACTCTTCCATATGCTGATGGGGAGACCGAAGCCCAGAGAGGAGCAGGGACTTTTCCCAAGGCCTGGAACCCAGGACTCCTAAGCCCGTTTATCAGAAAGCGAACTCCACCCTAGAATGTGCCAGCCCCCACCCTTAGCATGGAAAGGGATGTGTCTGTGGTGGTGGTTGTTGGGGAGGAGGAGAGGCACAGGTAAAGGAGTGACTCTTCTCTGGGCCAATGAAATAGGTTCTTTAGAGATACAAGGAGATTTCATAATCTCTCTGCCCTGTTGTTTCCATTTATCTTTATCTCCTTTGCATTTATCACTATCTAACACAGTACATCTTTTGTTTTTTCATTTTTCTCCTCCCACTGGAATGTAAGCTCCTAATGGCAGGGCTTTTGTCTGTTTTTGTTTTTGTTTTTTCACCTCTGTATTCTCGATGCCAGCACAGACTTTGGCACAAACAGGATGGCAATAAATATGTGTGGAGTAAACGATGAATGGGGCTGAGGTTTTGCTGCTCAAGAATATACACCCTAAGATGGACTCCCGGTTAAGAGGGTGGACTTTGAGTCAGGTTCTATTGCCCGCTTGCCACTTACTACCTCTGTGGCCATGACCGGTGACTTCACTTCCTTGAGACCCGGAGTCCACCTATGGAAAGGAGGGGAAAGTACTTTCTTGGCAGTAATGTAGTCAGGGACAAATGAGGTAATGGAACGTAAAGTGTCTAGCATAATGGCTGGGACCTAGCAAATGATTAGAAAACGGGAGTAATTACTTTTCAGATGCGGAAATGAGCCGTATAAACTGGGAGTTGAGAAGACTAGATTTCGGCCGTTTTCCTCTGTGGTGGGAGGTGCTAGGGTGGAAGGGAGGGAAAAGGGTAATGAAAGACCATGTTAGGTGGGCTTGGTTGGATGAAACCAAGTTTGGAACAGTGAACGAAGGGCACGGGGGACGGCAGATTTACGGCTTTAATGGCGGAAGGAGAGAGGGCTACATGGGGTAGGGGTTTGAATGGGGCGAGACAGACCGTGGCTCAAGGCTTGATTGGCTCTTACTGGCAGTGTAACTCCTCCTCTGAGTCTACGTAAAAGCGAGTGGTCTTGAATTTTGGGCGGGGGAAAGCGGCTACATCGCGGGGGTGTGTCTGGGGCGGGGCGTGACTGGGGGCGGGGCGTTGACGCTCGCGTGTGCCCTGGGGGCTGGACACCGCGCAGTAGCAGAGCCCAATGAACGGGTGCCGGCCTGGCTTAGGGGCGGGACCCTGGGGACGAGGGGTACACCGGGGCGGGGTGCAACGCTGTGGCCCGCCCGAGGGCGGTTCCTGGGGAGCTGGCTGGGCGCTTCGGCCGAGGCCCGGAAGTGGACGAGGGCGGCCCGGGTTCCCGCTGCCTACCTGCCATGGACGAGGCTGACCGACAGCTCCTGCGGCGATGCCGGGTGCAGCTCGTCCGCGAGCTGCAGGTGGCTGATCTCTGGGACGTCCTGCTGAACCGCCAGCTCTTCAAGCCAGACATGATCGAAGACATCCAGGTGCGCCCCGCCCCCTCCCAGCCTACGCACTGCTGCTCTTATCTTGCGCAGACTTCTCTCACAGTTGGGGACAGCGAGGCCGCGCGGAGAGGGTTATTGGAGCCAAAAAGTAACTTAATGACCGAGCTCCCCAGTCTGTGCCAATCACTAGCTCCCCGCCTTTAGGGAACCATTGTGTGGGAATCCGGTTTTTCCTTACGGTGGCGAGCCCCTTAAATTGCCCAGCCAAACCAAGCAGTCCCGGACACCGCTTTGCTAAGGCGATTCCGCGCCTTGCACCATCGGTGTGCACCGTGAGCTGCGGCAGCGCCGGGCTTTTGCCAGCAAGGAGGCATGTTTGTTTTCAGCTCCTCTAGCATGAAGGTCCACGGCACCCACTTGGGTGGCAGACTGCCTGGCACCCTGTCCTTGGGCAGTCCACACCCTCTTTGAGCCAGTTTCCTGGGCTGTGAAATGGGGGCAACAGTTGTCTTGTCCTCAGGGCTGAGATACAGGATATGAAAGAGTAGTGTCAGGCTCGGAGTAAGGACTCATGTGTGGTAGTTCGCTGGGCCTTGCCCTCCTTGGCCAGCCCCTCATGTATTAAGTTCAGGTTTTGTAAGGGCTTTTGGAGATGAACTGCCTTATGCAGGTGATGGAGGGAAGAATAGGGTTAAACATTGGCGATTCCCTTTAAAAGCACTTTCATGTCTTGGTCTTATTTGACCCTCGCCACAGGCCTGTGAGGTCAGATGGGTACAGGAGGGGTGCACAGTGGGTGTGCGTGGCTTCGTGGAGGCCCCTGGCCAGTGCCCCGTGGGCGGCTTGCAGGCCGAGTGTCCAGTTTCTGCCTCACCCAGAAGTTGGGCCTGACCCAGTGGGAAGTTTTTAATAGAACAAGTGTCATTTGGGAAATTACCAATGAATAATAATTAAAAGAAGTCTTAGGAGCACCTGCTGCATGGCCTGTGCTGAGGCGTGGAGATGGTGTGAGGCCAAATCCTTGCTTTTAGGCACATAAAAGGGGTCACCAATTGGAATGCCCATGGAGGCCCAATGGGTGGGCATTACAACGGGCAGCCTCTGTCCTGCCCTCCAGGTCCAGCAGGGTGTGGTCCCGCCGGAATTCTGGTCTGGTATTGCCAGATCTGTCATGTTGTTAAAGAGAAACTGGGAATCTTGATTTTGATGTCTAATTACCTGATTTGTTTTCCTTTTTAAAAAAAGATTTTATTTATTCATTTTTAGAGAGGGAAGGGAGGGAGAAAGAGAGAGAGAGAAACATCAATGTGTGGTTGCTGGGGGCCGTGGCCTGCAACCCAGGCATGTGCCCTGACTGGGAATCGAACCTGTGGTGCTTTGGTTCGCAGCCCGTGCTCAATCCATAATTACCTGATTTTAAATGTCTGCACAAACTCAGGCTTTTTAAAGAATGCTATGTGAATAGCAGGCACCATTCCATCGCACCTGGGCTGGCTGACAAACACACAGGCTCTGGGGCCACGTGGGCGTGGGCCCTCGTCCTGGCTTTGTCACACGTTAGCAAGTTGCAGCACCTTTTGGTGACCCACTCTCCCTCTTCCGTACAGTGGGGGGGATTGTAATTTCAGGTTGTCGAGGGGGACTAAGGGAAAGATGCACTTAACAAGTGCCTACCTTATCGTGAGTGTTCAGTAACTCTTGAGGGAAGTCGAAACACCCCCATCTACAGATAGCAGTTTTGCTGCTGAGAATGATCTTTTCCGTGACATTATGTGTCTCTGCTGTTTGGTATAGTAGCCATTAGCCACATGTCCTTACGTAACTGTAAATCTGAAGCAATTAAAATTAAACAAAATAAAAAATTCAGTTCTGCAGTGGTAGGACCCAGGTGCACAGTAGTTGCGTGTGGGTGATATGGGACAGCTCCGATAAAGGACATTCCCATCGTCTTGGGAAGTTCCCGTGGACAGCGCTGCTGTAGACCGTTTGAGGGCAGGGGGGCATCTTGTTCTACCCCGAGGAGCTTTCAGAGTGCTGGGCCTCGAAGACAACCAGCAGATAACCAGCATCTTCTTCTTGCTCCCACCCTGCTCCTTATCTCGGTGCCTGGCCTCACTGTCCCCACACCTGCCCACCTTGACCATTTCTCCATTTTCACAGTCCCCCCAGTCAATGGCCAGGTCCTGTCGATTCTCCCTCCTTATTTCTCTGGTCTGCCCTCTGACTCCTCTTTTCCAGCTGCACTGTCTTTGCCACCAACTGACCTGGCTGTGGCTCCCTCCCGTCACTGTCTACCCTGCCCCCAGGATGATTTTTCTAAATGGCAGATCCTACTCTGTCACCCTCTTCTTCAGACTCTTCAGTGGCTTCTTGCAGCGTTCTTGGCATGACCACACGAATGCCTCGTTCTTCGCTACTATTTCCCACTCCGACTTATGGTTCCCATTTCTCTGAATTCACTATTCACTTCTTCTTCTTCTTTTTTTAAAGACAACACACCTTTTCCCTCTTGCATTTCTGGAGGTCAAGCGTTGAAAGTGAGTCCTAAGGGGTTAAACTCACGGTGTCAGCAGGGCTGCTTCCTTCTGGACGCTCAGGGGAGAATCCATTCCTTGCCCGCTGCAGCTTCGAGAGGCTGCCAGCGTTCCTGGGCTTGTGGCCACATCTCTTCAGCCTCTGCGTTCATCTTCACGTCTTGCTGTTCGCTTCTTGATCTTCCCTAGTGCCTCAGCTAAGGCCCCTGCCGGAAGCCTCTTTTACTGCCCAGGACTGAGTTGTGTGCCCCCAGTCCCATGTTCTTTTCCTGGGGCACGTCTCCTCGCTGTGTCCTTGGCGATTTGTCTGTTTCCATTCCCCATGTGACGTTTGCTGCCTGAGGACCGAGATGGTTTGCTTCTGTATTTGTAGCACTTCTGCACATAGTAGATGCTTCCAAAATACTGAATGGATAGATGAGTCAAGGCAGGGCCAACTTTTGCTTCCTTGCCTGATTGTTTAGATATATGCTATCAGGGACGTAGGGGGACAAGGTGAGAGTCACAGGGAAGCGTGTAAGTAATAGTGTCATGTCCTTCTCTCCAAACAGCGGGCGGGCTCTGGGTCCCGGCGCGACCAGGCCAGGCAGCTGATCACGGATCTGGAGACTCGAGGGAGTCAGGCCCTGCCTTTGTTCATCTCCTGCTTAGAGGACACAGGCCAGCACGGCCTGGCTTCAATGCTGAGAACCAGTCGACAAGCAGCAAAGCGGGATCCTGAGGCCATCAGACCCCGGGACCTGCAGCCTGTGGTAGTCGGCCCGGAGGGCCTCGGACTGGAGGAGCCGAGAGGGGTGAGGCAGGACCCACCGAAGCTGACCCCAGGTAAACTCACCCCAGTAGTGCTGGGGCCTGAAGAGCTCTGTCCCACCGAGCTCAGACCAGAGGTTCTCAGACCAGACATGCTCAGGCCAGCGGATGTTCCTTCTGGAGGATTCGGTGGTGTCTGTGAGTACTGAAAGGGTGGCTGGGAGGTGCTTGTGCCCATCGGTGCAGCCGGGCAGGCTGAAACTCAGAATTTAATTTTGGCGTTGTCTTTCTGAGGACTCCTATCGAATATGGGCGGGGTATGCTGGCAGGCCTTCAGAAGATTGAATTTTGGCAGCCCGTCCTCTGAAGAGCACGTGTTCTTTTCTGGACGGGGAATTTCGAAGGACTTCTCTTCCGCCTCAGAGACTCCGTCTTCTGTTTGCTCAAGTCTGACATTGATGTTCTCTGTTGCTTTTTTTTTTTTTTTCATTTTATTTATCAGGTTCTTCGGTTCCAGATTTTCTGTTCGTTTTCTCTTTCACGATTTCTAGCTCTCCGTTCAACTTCTCATTTTGTTTGTATGTTCTTTTCCTGATTCCGTTGAATTGTCTTTCTGTGTTTCTTTGTGGCTAACTGAACTCCCTTTGAACAACGAGCTTGAATTCTTCTTTGGGCAAATCTCAGAGTTTCATTTCTCTGGGGTCGGTTACTGGAAAAGTATCGTGCTCCTTTAGCGGTGTCATGTTTTCCTGGTCTTTCATGTTCCTTGAAGTCTTGTGTTGCTGTCTTTGTGTTTGAAGAAACGTGGCTCCTTCCTGTCTTCACCGATGGGCTCAGTGGGCTCTGAACTTCCGCCACGGCGCTCCTGTCTGTGGGTCAATGTCAGTCTCGGGGTCCTTTGCGGGGGAAGGCGGTAGGAAATTCTTATTCTGCCATTTGGATAACGCTGCCTTCTCACTTTGGGGGTCATTGTTGTGAATTTGAGAAGCGAATGAATTCCTCAGCGGTGGAGAGTAGTTCCATTTTGGGGGTGCAGTGGAATTTTGGAAGTGAGCAATAGTTTCAGAATTAAGTCTGTGGAGCAATACAAGCCTTCAGGCTAGGGAAAACCTTTTCTTTTTTTTTTAAACATGGGATGTGATTGCTTTCCTGGCGTGACTTTTACATTGGCAAGAAACTAGTCCCCAACAAGAGGTCCAGGTCTGCTGTCAGCAAGGAACGTCACCGTCGCCGGGTCCTGAGTTTAGGCCCCCACGTGTCTTGGAGGTAGCCACTGTGTTTTTGTTGCTTCAGAAGAAAAATTAGCCCTCGGCCCCATAGGCTGGTGGCTTGTTGACTTTTAGCCAATGGAAATGAAACCTCTGGGCATTGGAGCAATAAATGACCATTTTCCTCAATTATTCAGTCTGCAAATATCTGCTGAGGCCCTACTCTGTGCTGGGTCCCCAGGGTTCCACAGAGTGGGGCCATCGTCTCTCCTGGAGGCTCCCGTGTGCTCCTCTGTTCTGGAATTGTACGTAAACGGAACCACACCATATATACATACACACGTTACGGCTCTTGTAGCCCGGCATAGTGTTTTTGAGGTCATCCATGGGGCTGCGTGTGTCGGTAGCTCATCCCCGTGCAGGCTGCGGGGTGTTCCTTTGTCCGGCTGTGTCGCGGCTCGTTTATCTGTCGACCCGTGGATGGACCTTTGCGTTGTTTCTAGTTTTAGGCATTATGGGTAGCTCTGCAGTGACGTTGGCGGCCAAGTCTCTTTGTGTCCGTTGCATTCATTTCTCCTGGGTATACGTCCACCTTGGAATGGAATTGCTGGTTGGAGGGCAGGTGGGCATTTGATTGTTAGAAACTTCTAACTAGTTCTCCAAGGCGGCTGTGCAGCGTAACTCCCTCCCACCGGCGCTGTCTGAGGGCTCCCACGTGTCTGTGGGGGCGGTCCTCACAGAGTCCCGTGCCCCTCCGCTGTTGGACCCTGCCATTCACGTTTTCCCTCTTTGTCTCTCTCTCTCCCCTCACCCCCAGGTGCGCAGCAGAGACCGAGGGGAAACGCTGATTTGGTGAGCCTTCCTGGGATTCGGGGCCTGTTGCGTTGGCTTTGGGTCCTTCTGCTCCTCACCCCCCGGACCCTTTCCCGCAGCCACTGTGGGAACCCAGGGAACCCAGCCCGGCTGTAGGGAGGCTCCTGGGCCCGGGCCCCCTCCGGCTCCCTGACTCGGGCACAGCTCCTTCTGCAGCAGATTGTCCAGCCCTGCTCTCTCCTCCCCTGGGAAGTCAGGGGTCCCGCCTAGTGAGGTGTGGGCATCAGAATCGGCTGTGGCCTCACTGCCCCCCCCCAATCTGAGTCACTGACTCCCATTCACAGCATGTATTGGGTGACTCCCGTGTGCCAGCCCCGGCCTGTGTGCTGGGACACCTGCGGACAGACCGCTTAAGTTTCTCACCCTTGTGGAGCCATCAAGGCTAGTTCTAGAAAGGAACATATAAGTCTTTGGTATAAATAGTGTAATACACCATAAGCAAAAAGAACAGGCTACTGCCAGAGAGGGTTACATAGGACACGTTGAGCCTGGGGGGGTCGTGGCGTTGGTGCTCCGAGGGCGGGCCTGGGCATGGGTCTGCCCAGAGTTACCCATATGACTCTCAGGTGCTCCCCTAGACTGGGCGGCCAGTAAGGTCCTTTAGGGGTGCACGTTTACGGGCGTCGGATGTCTAAGGTAGCGGCTCCCGTCCCCGAATGCTGTGTGGGAGCCGGTGTGCCTTCCGGAGCTTGGCCGGCTGCGCATCACACAGCCGGCGCCCGCCGCAGTCTGGCTGCAGGCTGCCGGCCTGTGCCCTGCAGCAGCGCCGGGGGTGGACCCCGCTGTTCCTTCAGAGGGCGGGCAGACCCCATTGCTTGTGTCGTCGCTCCAGACTGTCAGCCACACGAGTGAAAGCCAGGGGGTGGCCTGCCCTCCTGAGGGAGGCAGGGAGACCCCATTTCACCGGGGTCCCTGTGCTTGGGCAGGCCTACATCCTGGATGCAGACCCCTGTGGCCGCTGCCTCATCCTCAACAACGTGAACTTCTCCCCGACGTCGGGGCTCAGCACCCGCTCCGGCTCCAACGTCGATTGCGAGAAGTTGCGGAGACGCTTCCACTCGCTGCACTTCGAGGTGGAGGTGGAGCACGACCTGACCGCCAAGGTACGGCCACTGTCCGTGCAGAGAGACAGGGACCCGGAGAGCAAGCGATGCCCCAGGACCAGCCCATGGGCCAGTGGGACCACGAGAGGCAGTATTGCTCCGTGGTTAGCAGTTCAAGCTTCAGACTCAGGGAGCCCCGGGTGGAGGGCCGGCTGTCCCGGTACCTGCGGGGCGACCCCGGAGCCTGTGCTTCGTGGTCTGGACACCAAGGACAGGACTCACTCCCAGGGTCGTTGTGAGCGTTCAGTGCTCGAGCACAGCAGCTTTGCCCTGAGAATGGTGGCTGTCGTGAGTGTTGTCACTTCGGCACTGGCGCTGGGAGCAGGGGCGGCGCTCCACCGCGGTGCGCAGGTGGGCTCGGGATGGGGACCCACTCCGTCAGTGTTCTGGCTCAAGCAACCTTCTCCTTGCAGCAAATGGGCCAGGCCCTGCTGGCGCTGGCGCGGCGGGACCACGGCGCCCTGGACTGCTGCGTGGTGGTCATCCTCTCTCACGGCTGCCAGGTGGGAGGCCTCAGCTTCCCGGGCAGGCGCCTGGGACAGGCTGTACTGACAACCCTGTCCCTTCCTGTGCCCAGGACACCCTTCGCTTGGTGGGAAGAGCCAGGGGGCCCTGTCCACCCCCCACTGTTTTCTCGGGAGCCATCTGGCCCTCGGAGGAGTTGGGTTCTCCACTTGGGTGGCGGGGGTTGTTCCTGGGGGAAGGCACCTGGGAGAGGCAGCGGGGAGGCAAGCTCCGCTCACAAAGCACCTTTCCCGGATCTGGTTCAGAGCCGGCGCAGCGTGTAAGAGCTCCCAGCTCCTGCCCCGGTCCTGCTGGGCATGGTTCAGGGCCCTTTGCTGCCGGCTGTGAGTCAGGACCCTGGCACCAACTCTGGGCTCGGCCGCTCATGTGCTACGTCATCGTGCCCAAGGCCGTACCCCGTCCTGAGCCCCAGTTTCCTTATCTTTTAAGTTGAGGGTTGGGAAGGTCAGAGGTTACACGCTGGGGGTCTGTAGTCCCCCTCTGGGTTATACACCAAAATTAGGATTTCTAGCTTTTCTTGAAAAACCACAAAGGTCTGGCCTTACTGGGCCAGCCTCCTCCTGGAGCACGCTGTGTGGCCAGTAGCTGGGCGGGGGCTGCCTGTTGGGTTGTTTCCTTCCTGGAGTGGCCCCGGGACCAGCAGCGTGGGCATCACCAGGCAGCTGGTGACATGCAGACTCCTGGCCCTGCCCCCTCCCCCCTCACTCAGAGCCTGCAGTCTCACTGGTCCCCATGCACGCAACGTTTGAGAAGAACCGCTCTGGAGCCGGGGTTCTCAATGTTCAGCGGCATCAGAGGCACCTGAAGGCCCCCATTGCCGGTCTCCTCTCTCAGGGTTTCTGATTTAGGAGGTCTGGGTGGGGCCCAGGAATGTGGATGTCTTACAAGTCCCTGGAGAGCTGGTACTCTCCAATTAGGCTCTCTCGGCCCCTGTAGGCACTTGAGTTTACCCCCGGGGAAGGGAAGCTGACCAGGGCCCATCCAGAGCCAACCTGCTCTGTCTAAAGCAGCCTTGCACCCCTGGCTGCGACCTTCTAACTGCTTGCCCCTCCCCCGCCCCCCGCCCCAGAGCTTCTGAATGGTTTGTTGGATTCCTACTCGACTTCTTGGTTGCGTAACCAGGATTCTCGGTCTTCTAGGCCAGCCACCTCCAGTTCCCCGGGGCCGTCTATGGCGTAGATGGAGGTCCTGTGTCTATTGAGAAAATTGTGAACATCTTCAATGGAACTGGCTGCCCCAGCCTGAGAGGGAAGCCCAAGCTGTTTTTCATCCAGGCCTGTGGCGGAGGTAGGCCGGTCCTCAGGCCCCCTGCAGAAGAATCTGGTGGGGAAGGAGCTGCTGCCCCCCTGCTTTCTTCCCATCCAGCCCCTCGAGATGTCCCTGGGTCCCCCCGGGCAGTCAGAGGGCCCCAGATGTGGTGGCTGCTGTCCAGATGGCGGCGCCTGTGTTGGCTGGAGTGGGCCTCAGCTTTCTCCAGCCCTCGGAGGCAGGAGTCTCGGTCTCACGATGCAGTGGAATCAGAGGCTCACGCAGCTTTGGTGATTTCAACCCCTGAGACTCGACAAAAAGGAACCAAGTGGAGGAGAAAGAAAAACTTCACTTTCCTGACCTCCATCCACTAGGCCTCTTTCCCACTCCCCCAGAGAAAGGGAGGCCAGCTTTCTGGGAACGTCACGGTTAGCCCATCTCCCAGCCCTGTGCTCATCCCAGTGTCCCCTCTCAGGGGCATGGAGGAACTCTGCCGTGTCTCTGGACTCCTTAGTGGGGCCTACGAGGCCCCTGGGGATCCGGCCCCCCGCTACGTTGCTTCCCCAAGCCTGGCGTGCCGTGCCCGCCCCAGCACCGCTCAACCGTCCCAGGATGTCACAGGCTCCGGCTTGCTCCTCGGCCTTTCCATGTGCCATCCTCTGCCTCGTCTCCTGACCATTCTTAATCACCCCTCCTTCTGGCTACCATTTACTGTCACCGCCTCCAGGAAGTCTTCCCCAAACACCCGCTTCCTTGAACAGTCAGGGTTCGCTGGCCCTTGAGCTCCCGCAGCGCCTGTTCCTTCCTGTCGCACACTGTCTCATGGTGTTGAGACAGCCTCAGCCCCTGGTCAGCTCTCTGAGGGCAGGGCCAGGCCTGTCCGCCCTGCAGCTGGGCCTGGTTCGGCACAAAGCTCACGGTTTGGTTGCATCTTCTGTGGATTGTAATGATTTGAATTTGAATTGGAAATAGAACCACATGAAAATATCTTTCAGTAAAATTCGGAATAACGTAGACTCCCACTGTTAAAAATCTCACCAAAACAGCTCCCGGGGAAGAGCAGGATTCCAACTGCTAGAACGCAGCCGCCTGTGGAGTTCTGGTCCCTGCTTAGCACTCAGCAGGCTGTGCGACCTTGTGGTTAACGCTGTTGCCACATGGGGGCGGCCTGTCCGCTGAGAACAGAAACAGAGAAACGGCGGAGACACATCAGTGTCTGGCAGTGTCCTGTGTACATGCATCGGACAGTCTGTCCTGGATTTTGGTGATTCTTACGTGGCTATTTTAAAGTTTGCTGTGGTTACAATCTGAAAGAATTTAAAAACCCTCCAACGCTCTTCATTAAGAGGCCGTGCAGGCGCCTGGGCGGAAAACGTGCGTCCAGATAGGTCACCTCGGTGCAGAATGGCAGCGAGTAGCATGGGAGAAGGCGACAGACAGCGTGGTGACGCACTTGGCCAGAGCCCTGTGGCCTCTGTCGGGCCGAGCTGTTGATTTGGGGTGCCCCCCTTCAGAATTTTGATTTTGGGTGCCCCCCTTCAGAATTTTAGAGCTCGTGCTGAGAGGAGGCAGGAAGCTCCAAGTGCTGCTGCAGTGGTTATGCACGGAGGGAGCAGCGGCTCTTCCCGCTGCGTGTTGACGCTTGTGGGGCCGTCAGTCCCGCCTCCCAGGGGGTCTGAATCAGCGAGGCTCTTTAAGAACAGAGCTGGGCGTAAAGCACAGAACCTTGGAGCTAGGCCTTCACATCGGGTTTGCAGAATGAGGGTGGCACATGAATGGACACAGACTGGTGTCCCCTGCCTGACCCACTCTTTCTTCCCCTGTAGTCCCCTCTCGGATCCTACTGTGTCTGCCCTGTTTTCCACGGGCAGTCCCTCGGCCCTCCCCATCCCCTTAGGCTGTTCTTAAGTCATTCCACCGGAGTGCCCCCTCCCCCTGCTGCACTGGCTGCCTGGGGGACCCAGCAGCCCTAGTGACCTGAGCAAGCTCTAGTCCAGCTTTCGCACGTCTCAGAAGCCACCTTTGCGGGCTTGGGGCCTCTGTGCAGTGCAGCAGGGGGCGGGGGTGAGAGGCAGGAAGATATAAGGCAGAATCCTGGCCCCTGCCCCGGGGACTGTGGGAACGGAGACAAATCACCAAGTTTCTGAGCTTCAGCTGTATGGGGTGAGAGGTCAGCAGATGTCAGAGTTGTTATTACGGGGTTGTCAGAACTGTCTCTGTCTCATCTTTGTCTCCTGCAGATGGGTCCCCACCTCCCCTGGGTGAGCCAGGCCTTCCCTCCCTCCTGCTGTTTACAGGCGGTCCGCCGCTTTGGGTGGGGGGGTTGGATTTTAAGACTGAAAAGATGGAAAAAACGACAAGTTAAAATCATCCAGGATCCTGCGAGCCTGACCTCAGCCTGTCAGTCTGCTTCCCTCATCTGCCATAACCCCTAAAGTGCATCCCCACACCTCCAGGGTCTTCATCATCGCTAGTCCGGGTGGTCTTCTAACCCTCCGTTTCAGTGATGTGCTCTCACCCACGAAACCGTCCCCCCGGCGTCGGCCCTTCGGGTGAGACCCAGCTTTTGGCTCTCGTGGCCACAGGGGGCTTTAAACAGAGGCTTCCGCCTCCACATGAATTGTTTCCTTAGGAAATGACAGGGTCAGAAGCTGTCAGCATCTCCCTGGCTCCTGCTACCTGGGACTCGACGCCTTCTTTGATGACATGAAAGGGTTTGAAATAGCTTCAGAAGTACTAAGGGTAGAGTAGAACAATAATAGAGGGAATGCAAGGGGGAGTGAGCTTGGGACGTACACATGCACCCTCTGAGGTCCTGCGTGTCTGCAGAGGGGCCTGGCTGGAGCCACACCTCAGCTCCACCTGCTGCTGGTAAGGCAGAGCCAAGGACGGCAAGTGTTCTTCCCCGGTCGTCCTAAAGGGGGCGCTGTGTGTATTCTGGACAGTTTCCTCTACACTATTCCTATGGGGGGGAAAAAGATGAGTTTTATATGGTGTTTTTTAAGATTTTATTTATTTATTTTTAGAGAGAGGGGAAGGGAGGGAGAAAGAGAGGGAGAGAAATATCAATGTGTGCCTGTCTCCCACACAGCCCTGACTAGGAATCGAACCAGTGACCCCCTGGTCCACAGCCCACGCTCAATCCACTGAGCTACACAAAATACGAGTCTTAATACAAGTTTTCGCAGTTGGGCGTTTTCAAGTTTGGGTGAGGGCACCGTTTTACGTGTTCAGCTGTTGCTGGGCACTCGGGCTGTTTCTGCCTTTTGCTGTTGTGAATAATGCCGCTGCGAACCTTTGTCTGCGGGGTTTGTCTGGACCCCTCTACTCGGTTCTCGTGGGTGTGCGCCTTGCAGCTTGTTGTAGCTGTGTTGTAAATTTCTGCATCTTCCCACCCCCCGCCCCCCCAAGTTTACTTAATGAACGTGTACAACTTCTGTTGTTAGAAAGAAGTAAAGCTTCTGTTCGGTTTCCTGCTCGTGTTCGCCCAGCACCGGAGCCCTGCTCCGGAGGGAGTCGGCGGCCTTGGGCGGCGGCAGGCCGCACGGAGCAGGAGCTCTGGTCTGGGTTCAGTGACACGTCCTGTCTGTCTTCGCTTCTTGCAGACCAGAGAGACCGGGGGTTTGAGGTGGTCTCCACTGCCCCCGAGGACAGGGCCCCTGGCGGGAACCCGGAGCCAGACGCTGCCCCGTTCCTCGACAAGTCAGGTGCCTGTGACCAGCCAGATGCCGTGTCTAGTTTGCCCACGCCGAGTGACATCTTCGTGTCTTACTCCACCTTCCCAGGTGAGCGCATCAGCCAGTGAGCCCCCGCCCCCATCTGTCTTAGAAGCAATTGGGTTGTGAAAGGAAACACCTGGGCGTGAGTCTTCATCCTGCCTCCTGCCACCTGGGTGCCCCTGAGCAAGTTACTTTCCCTCTCTGAGCCTCTCTGGGCCTCTCTGAGCCAGTCGGTGAGGCGCCTAGGATACTAAATTTAAGGAGGAATACACCCTTGGGCTTGTGTGCCTCACCCTCTTCCTGGCCTTGCCTCCATTTTCTCATCTTTAAAATGGGAATAATAATCATACCTCAGGGGTTGCCGTGGGAATTAACAAGGTGCCCGGCGCATAGCAGGTGGGACAGGTGTTAGTGTCCTTCCTTTCGTGTCCCTTGAGGGAGTCACTTGGTTTCTCTGAGGCTCGGTTTCCTTGTGGGAAAACTGGAGTCATAACCAATGTCACGAGGTGGCGCTGAGGATGAGATGGGGTCCCCATGAGGCGGAGTGCAGCGGTGCCGGCTGCTGCTCCTGCTGGGGGTGTGAATGCGGCAGAGACCGGTGGAGGCCCCGGCCAGCCTGCGTGGGGCGGCAGCTGCACCACCTCCCAACCAAGCCCAGCCTTTCTCCTTCCGCAGGGTTTGTCTCCTGGAGGGACCGCAACCGTGGCTCTTGGTATGTGGAGACTCTGGATGGCGTTTTCGAGCAGTGGGCTCACTCGGAAGACCTGCAGAGCCTCCTGCTCAGGGTGAGCCCCGCCTTCTGGGAAGGGGAGGGGCGGCTGCTGGGAGGGCAGGGAGGCGGGGGGAGCAGGTAGACCGAAGGTAAAAGGTGGAGAGACCCCGTCCACACCTGCACCTTGGCTTGCCATGGAGTCAGTGCTTTTGCTTCTCTAACGCAACCTGTCACTGCCTGCGGTGACGTTTGCCCCTTATTCCAAGGGCTGCCATCCTTGGCTTCTTTGAGGCCCCCAGGCTGACACCCTCTACTCCCTGCACTGACAGGGCCAGTCCTTAGCACCAGGGTTGGCTGGCTCAGTGGACAGAGTGTTGCATTTCTGAAAGCAGGTCGTGGGGCTGTCCCTGTGTCCCTGCACCCTTTGCCCCTCTGCAGGACGACGCTCCAACCAACTGAGCCACACCGGCCAGGGCTGCTCCCGACCCTTAAGAATCATGAGTCTTCTTTAGTGTGTCCCCTTCTCGGGAGGCCCCCAATGGGAGAATGGGAAAGGATGGCTGATGGTGCCCCAGCCTCGTGAGTGAGATCCCACCCAGAGCACTTGTGGGTCTCACCTGCTCTGCTCAGGTGTTTTTGAGCCATGAGAAGGGGCTGGGCCTGCTCGTTTCTTGGGAGGAGGCTCCACCTCTGTGCTTTGCCGAGCACAGTGGAGAAGGAAAGCCAAGTGCAGGGCCCCCACGTGCCGTGTCCCTGGGCAGGTGAACCGCAGAGGCAGCCCGGGGTCTCGTGGGGCAGCCCGGGGTCTCGTGGGGTCGGGGTGGGGGGTCCCCGGGCCAAGCAGTGTGCCCAGCTCCCGGGTCCTGCCACTTCTCCCAGCTTTTCTTCAAGCCAGGCTTTCAATCTGATCGGGACTTTGTGAAGTTTTGAATTTTGAAATTTTAGATTCTGAGTTCCCTAAATTTGTATTGACTGCTTAGTTTTGGAACCCCCGGCCCCCAAGGAGGCTCAGGCAGAGCCGTTTAGGACTGCCAATGCAGGGGACGCTCCCCGCAGCTGCTCCCCGATTCTGGAAGTCGAGGGAGTTCTTCCTTCGATGGAGAGAACTCACAGACCTCCGTGCGGTCGTGTTTTCACAGGTCGCTCATGCTGTTTCCGAGAAAGGGGTTTACAAACAGATCCCTGGTTGCATTAATTTCCTCCGGAAAAAACTCTTCTTTCGAACTTAATGGAACCACGGCCCCGATCCTGCCTCGCCCTTTACCCCCAAGCCTGCCTTCCCCCTCGCCCGGCGTCGGCGGAGACCTGGGCTTCCCTTCAACCTCGGCTGTCACAGGCGGCTGTCACGGGCGGCTGTCACGGGCGGAAGGACTCTGGAGCCCCTGGAGGGTCTGCTCCTCCCCACCCGCAGCAGACACTCTCGGCAGCATCCACACTGAGGACAAAGGACTGACGACGGAGGAAGAGGAGAAGAACACCGTGGACACAACATGCGGCTTTCCACCCGTGGCTGGTTGCCTGGCCAGTGACCGTGTCTGTGGTCCCTGTGTTCGCTCCGGAGCAGGGCTTCTCCGCCTCAGCACCCCTGACACCTGGGGCCCCATGATCCTTTGCGGGGTGGGGTGGGGGCGTGTCCTGTGCGTGTAGGACCCGGAGCAGCGTCCCTGGCCTCTACCCACGGGATGCCATTAGCATCTATCTCCCCTGAGTGGTGACCACCGGCAATGTCTCAGGCATTGCCAAGTGCCCCCTGGGGGCCCCCACCTGAGAACCACTGGACTTGGGGGGTAGTTTTTAGCTACAAACCAACCATCATCTCTGCCAAATCAGCAGGTTTAGGACTCCTGGGGCCTGAACAGCTGTAATCTGTGAATCTTAAATAATGTCTTAAAAATTACTTATTTTTCCTGTATACAGTATTCTTCAAAAAATAAATCTTAGGTGAAAAGGACTCTCTTTGACCTATTCCCCTCATCATTTCGCTTCGACTCTTTGTCATTCCTTCTAAAGGAGACTTTGGCTTTTTCGGAAACATTTCATTTGACCCCCATCCCGGGGGGTGAGTGAGGTGGGAGCCGCGTGCTCAGAGAGGTCCAGCTGCTCACCCAGGGGAGCGCCCTCAGCCAGGGGAGGGGCCTGCCTGGGCCCTGGCCTTCTGAGTGCCGCCTGGGCCTGCAGGTGCCTTCCTGGCAGAAGGACCCTGCACTGCAGGGTGGCCATGCTGTGGGACAGTGACCCCGTGGGCCTCCCCAGAGAAGGCCCCAACCCTGAGGTCTTTGAAAGTGTCCTGTCCCAGTCTCTTTCTTGCTCTCAGAGCCCTGGCCATGAGGATGGTTCGCAAATAAGACTCTCACCCAGAAGTGATTCGCGTAGTTGTCACTTTATTATTTTTCTTCCACGACCTTCCCAGGTCTTCTGGTGGTTAGTTGTTTGCCATCACCTGCAGGACACACACACGAGAACTCCGCTAGGTTAGCCCGGCCGAGCAGAGAGCTGCAGCAGCGTCTCAGCCTCCCCCCTCCAGGCTCCGAGCTGCTCGGGTGAACCAGACCCAAGGGCCTTATCACAGCTGCTCACCAGGCTGCCCCGGGGGGGACCCCTACCAGCCACATGCTTTTCAGATTTCGTGCATTTCTCAAAGGGGGTGGTGCTCTGAAAGAGTTAGCGAGCACCACTGTTTGCACAGCGCTGCTGCGCACCGTGGGCGGGGCCTATACACCTGTTCTGAGAGGCAGTTCAACAGTTTTCTCTTAAACGCGTTCACACGCCAACTGGATGACCCAGAGACGCCTCTGGATCTCTAGAGCATACACACTCGACCAGCGTGCAAGAAGGGGTGTCCCAGGGTGTCCCTGTGCAGCGTGAGAGCGGAAAATAGGAACCGGGTGTGTCTTCATACTGTGGAATATCACTGAGCTGTTCCAAAGAATGCCCTACAAGTATGGGCTCACATGTAGCATGTGATACGGTGTGAAGTGAGAAAACTAAGTTGCAGAAGAGGATGAAGAGTAAAATCCTATTTTTGGTTAGAAGACGCTATCTGCAGGACGAAGTGCAAAAGACGAGGGTTAACGATGATCCTCTCTGGTGCGGACGGACTTGGAGATGGAAGACCCGGCGGGGCCTGTACTTTTTTACTGGATACGCTCCTGCATTCTTTGAATGGTTTTTAGAGAGTCTACATTACCCTCTAGAGTGGAAATAAAACTAGACTGGTGAGTGCTGAGAACTCATGCGTCGCTGTCATTCAGCGAACATTTGGTGGAGAGTTGAACGCCCTTGGCCACCTGTCTCCTCCTGTCGAGTTCCTGCTCCTGCCTTTGGATGGCAGCTTCCTGACCTTGACACCTGTCTGGGTTTGTCTGGGCAGGTGCTCCCAGGCGCCCCAGGGCTGAGGCCACGGCAGGGGCCGGCCAGCCCCTCTGCAGCTGCCAGGGGGGCGGCCTGCACCGAGGACAGCTGGGCGCTCGGCTCTGCCGGGCCTGGAGCCCGTCCCCAGACATGTGTGTGTCTGCCCGGCGGGCTGCTGTCCCATGAACCCAGGACCCCTGCCCAGCTGCCTCCAAAGGCTCCCTTTCCCCGTTGAGCCCCTCTGACATCGGACCGTGCTTTTTTGGCTGTGGCCTGGGACAGCTGATGCTGGGGCACCTGCTTTAGGTCCTCAAGGAGCTGCCGGGACCAGCTGCACGGTGAACTCATGTGGCAGCCGGGGCTGGGAAAGGGTCCCAGGGTTTGTCTGGGAAAAGACCTCTGAGCGTCCTCCCATCCAGGTGGGCCGGGGCCAGGCTCCTTTGAAATGCTGGTGACACTTGAAAAGCCAGGCTCAGATTTACTCTGCCAAAACGGAATCGTGGCTTTCCCCCAATTTACCCACAACGAGACCAAAACAAAACCCTGCGGATGAATAGCTACTCTCTTCTTGCTTTTACGCTTTTCTCCAACAAACTTTTCTGGAGTCATCTGGTGTCTGTGACCACTGGTTGGCCAAAGAAACGCCAGCAGACAGACAGATGAGCGAGGAGCCGGCAGATATTAGAGGGAGACTGGGAGGCTGCCACCTGCTTGTTTTGACAATGCCCATTTGACAGCGTAGTTCTCCCCCTGGGACCACGTGCTCACGGCTGTGCTTTTATGTTTGATTTTATAAGACTGTCAGTTGGAGTCAGCTGAACAGTTCTCTGGAAATGAAAATACCGAAGTAGATGCCAACTTCTCCTTCGGGGCTATACCACAAACACGCAACTCCCACTCGCCCTGGCTCCTGAACATGTGGAGGAGTCCTGGTCTCATTCCAGTCCCATTGTACAGAAGAGCGAACTGAGGCGGTGGCGATGCCAGGAGGTGGGTGACAAGTGTCCCTAATCGGCACAGCGTGTTTTCTTCCCTCCCTCCTCGTGCCTGCCTCAGTTTCCCCACTGCCCTCACATCCCCGAGGCCGCCTTTCTTTGGCTGGCGCTCCCTGTTGGGGCTGCTCATACCTGCTGCTCGTTGTAACCATGGCTTCTCCTAACGCTGGTGCCAGCTTTTAAAAAAAAATGACTTTCGTGGCTTTTATTATAAAAGTGTGTTCTTCGCTAAAACAGGAATTGAGCTGGTGTGGAAGCTTATGAGCTACTGGTTTTGAGCTCCCAGGAGACAGCTCTGTGGGGACACACTCCCAATAATAGTGGGACCGACTCAGTCCCATTTGCTTGGCCTGTCCCAGCCTAAGATGTCAAGTTTTGCATCCTGAGAAACCTTCCAGTCCAGGGCAAACCAGAATGGTCGTCACCTACCACCTGCACTCGGGGATGCATTTAGCTAGGGGGCCCTTTAGAGGGGATAGTTGCCAATGATTAAGGCTGTGCGGGTCTCCACCTATCAGTTCTAGGCTTTGCAGATAGATGCGTGGATAGCATTGGAGGGTGGGGTCTGGGCGTAGACACAGAGAAGCCAAAACAGAATGCCCCACCCACTCCAAGGAGCCCACTCTCCATGCCCCGGGAGCCTCCTTTGTTTGCAGCCCCTTTGGACAAGGCCACCCTCTCCGGGTCTTTGACTCACTTTTACCCACACCGAGGTGGTGGGGGCCCCTGGGGGTTGCCCAGGTCTGCAACCCCCTCAAGGGGCCCCTGCCTGGCTCTCAGGAGGACGGAGGGGTTCTCAAACCCTAGGTGGGCACTGCCCGAGGGCGTGGCCAGTTCTTACCGAGTTGATCCAGTCAATGTAGCCCGAGACCCGGGTGAAGACGGAAGGCTTGTGGTAGTAGTTGCAGCCGAGGGATGACCCGAAGCTGACCACGCCGTGCACCTCCCACTGGCCGTTAGCGTTCTGGCAGTTCAGTGGTCCTCCGGAGTCTCCCTGAGGAAGGCCAGAGCTCCATCAGCGGGGACCTGGGGGCTTGGGTGGGTGATGCGAGGGGGAGGGGCTGCCCACCAGAGCCCCGTGCTTCACAGGTTTGCAGTACGATTATATTGTTCCACCACCTGTCGCCACAGCCTCTGACCAGTCCCTGGGGTCACAGCTCCAGACGGCACCCTAATACCAACAAGACCTAACTTTGATTCTGTGTGCTAGAACTGAGCTAAGCACTCTTTATGCCTTAGCTCATTTCATCCTCACCGAAACCTATGAGGTCAGTATTGTTCGTGTCCCCGTGTCACCGAAGAGGAAGTGCTGACGCCCTGAGACTAGGCTGTGACCGCCTGGGGTTGTCCAGGCAGTAAGTAAAGGAGCCGAGACTGCCTCCCACAGTTAGGGTGCTGTGTGTTCCGCCTCCCCTGATGAGGGACCCTACTGGGCCGGTCTGCGCGGGGGCAGAGAGCGTAGGGGCACAGTGTGATCGTAAGGGCATGAGAGGCTCCTTCTTTCTCTGTCCCCACTCTGCTGCGATTCCCGCTGGTTAAGACACTGTGGCAGCTACCGTGAGGGACACACTGGGCTGTTGATGGGATTAAGTCAACAGATAAACTCGAAGCCACCTCGGAAAGGACCTTACCCAGAGAATACGTGCCCTTGGCCCTTTTCCTAAACAGAAGGAAGAGTAAGAGAGATGATGGTAATGAGAGACCCCAATGAGACCCAAGGGAGGACTTCCCATCAGTGAAGGGGTGGATACAATGATGATACAACATCTTAGAACACCTTTTCTGGAGACTGCAAGGACAAAGGCCAGGGTACCAAATGTCTGGAACAGCTTCCTGGTGCTTCTGCTAGCAGGCAGGAGGGTAGGTTCCAGGGCCCCCGAGAACCTCTCCCCATCCCCAGCCCCGTGTCATTGTGGAGGGGTGGCACCCGACGTTCTGCACTCACGTTGCAGCTGGAGATCACGCCATCACCCCCAGCGCAGACCATATTGGTCTTCACGGAGCTGCCCCACCAGCTAGGGCTGGAGCACGTGGCATAGTCCACAACCAGCAGCCGCCCCTGCTGCAGGATGTCAGGAAGAGCCCCGCCGGCTGCACGAGATGAGAGAGAAGGCGTGACAGGGACAAAGGGACTCCTAAGAATAAAGGAAGTGGTAGACACCTACTGGGTTTTCTGCCTGACCCTTTTGGCTGATCACTGTTACTTCCCATCTGTCCAGGGATGCAGTGGGAGCAGCCATGTTTGTTTGTACCGTGTCTCCACAGTTGATTGGTTCATGGCCGAAGAGCTACTCAGCCTAAGCCAATGAGCTCCTTCCCTGGGAATTTGGGATTGGAACTAAGAAATCCCAGCCAGAGAGGATGCAAACCTGGGAGCTGTTGGCAGTGGCTGTCATTTTTCTCTTAGGGAGAGAAGAATAAAGTAGATGTAACAAGAAAGAAATTTTGAGAGAGGGTTTCTGGAGTCTTTTAGTCATCCAGTCCCTGATTCTATCCTGTTCCTGAAGCCTGGCTGGGTCTCTGACCTTGGGTGAGACCAGCTAGCATCATGGGTTCCTATCATTTGCCTTAAACCTAACAGTGAGCCTGCTGGCATTTGGAGTCC